CCCACCTCACCGAGCTTTAATTCAATTTCATTTAACTTCGACTTCATCTCATCAATATCCTTTACTAACTTTAGCCGATCTGATTTTTTCACTGTCATCAGCTCCGATTCTGCTGCTTGCTTTATCTCAGCAGTCTTTTGTAATCTCGACGTGCTATTGTTTAGCTCTTGGGATTTATCCACACCCTGCACAGGAGCAAAACTTCAATTTTCAAGAAGCTTAAAATCACAGAGCTTAGCAATTGGTAGTTCCACCAATCAGATTGAACAATGACTAATTAATGACATCGTCAAAGTTGCTAATTACAATCAGATTTTTCTACCATTTCCTACTATTACAAATTCATTTTTTTCTAGATAAGAACACTTTGTACAGGAAAAACAAAGGGAGATAAGACACCCTCCCTATGGAATTTGAAAGAGGTTACACAGAGACCCCCAACAAGTTCTTAGACCAATAATAATTAGGCAGTACAACATCATATTTTTTAAAGAAAAACATCGATTTGATCCCTCAGCAACATTGTTAAAAAGAGAGAGAGAAGAAAACTTTAACTCTGTATAGATAAGAAAGTTTTTCCTTACTGCTACATATTCTGGAGGTTGAATTACACTTCCGCTTGATAATGGATCCTTCAGATGTGAAGTTTCGTAGCCTTGCCCCTCCAGTGCTCCATTTTGAACTCTTTTTTTTGGAGCTTCTAAAGTCAACTCCTCCTCCTTTGATGATCCATTTTGATCTCTCGGTTTTAATGCTTCACGAGGTATCTCCTCCTTTGATATTCCATTTTGATCCTTCAATCTTGAAGTCTGATGGAGCAGAACCTCCTCCCTCAATTCTCCATTTTGATCACTTGGTTTTGAAGCTTCAATCGGCTGCCCCCCCTTCGATGCAACAAAATCATCTTTGAGTCTTGAAGCCTCATGAGTCATCCCCTCATTTGAGGGTCTTAGTGTTGAAACCCCAGAGGGAAGCATCTCATCTGATGCACCATTTTGATATTTCGGCTTTGGAATTTCATTGGTGGCCAGCCCATCTCTTAATGGTCCACTTTTCCCACTCGGTTTTACAATTCCATCCATGATTTCATCCAATTCTCCATCAGTAGGTGAGAGTATTGGGGAATTCAGAGGACTAATGAGCGCCACTTTGAGCTTATCCTCTTCAATATACTTACCTCCATCTTTTGAAAACTGGAAAAGAGAAAACAATTAAAAACCTAAAGAATGAAATCTAATTATATCCGCAAAAACTTACCATACTTGCAGTGATGTCCTCTTCTGTTGTCCCTGAAGGAACAATCGTGCTTTGAATTAAAAATTTGTCCTTACACAACATATCAGGTGGGGCAGCCCGTTGAGCTTGCATTATAACTACATTAGAATCATAAGAAGAAATTAACTTTAAAAACAGGAAAGAAAGCAAAAGAGTAAGAATACATACTTCCAGGTTTAGGATTAAAAAAAAAACACAAATGTTATGGGAACATAGTTTACTTTATTGAACTAAGAAGTAGGATCTCATGATAACTAATAAGTCTTCACATCAACTCAATTTCAGAAGACTATATAGAGTCTTCTTATTTTATTTATTATTATTATTATTATTATTTTTTTGGAGAAATGTTTGTCAAATGATGGTCTGAATCATCTCATGATATTGAACATTCTTAAGAGTTTCTCATCCTCAAAACACTGCATTTTATGTTTTTCAAGTTTCTTTTTTAGATTTTTTTTCGATGTCCTTATTTACCCTCATAATTGATTCAACAAAAGAAAAGGAGGGAGCAATATTGAACAGACAGAGAGAAGATCAGATATTGTAAATGAAAAGTCATACACAGAAGAATTAGTTAAGTTGAAACTTGAATGTTAAAATTGAATGGTGATGGTAGTGACTTGACTCCATTACCAGTATCTATCTCTTTGCTTTTCCTTTCTCATTTTTTACTTTTTCTTTTGTTTGCCCGGAGGTAGGGGGACAAAAGTCACAGGTGCCTGAATATGTTAGATGAAATTTGTAAAGAACATACCTGAAAAGTCACATGTTGATTTTGGCAAAATTATCCCAACATTTGGTCGAACACAGTATTTCTTAGGAGATGTGGTTTTAACCTGCCAAAAATTATAATGTTATTACATATGTCGCATGAAAATTCAAATGAGTTTAAGAGAAACAATAGATCAATGAAACGAAAATAAGGTAGTTCATACTTTAAAGGCAACATGATGATGGGTGTTATTGGCTAGTTGAACTGTGCACGTACTTTGCTTCTTCAATTCAACTGAAAGCAGCAAAGTACTTAACTTCAATTCTTTTTCATTTACAATATCTGATATTGGAACAAATTGAGAAAGAGAAGCATGAGTTCATGCACTTACATATGAATTGTAGTTCCTTGGGCTGGATATTCAAAAGTTTCGTACTCATGTCTCTTCGTTACAATACTCAAAATTCAAAAGTAATACTTCTCTGCATCCAAAGCTTAGGTACGATTATTCTGCACTCGGAAAAGTGGTTTTCTTATAATCATTGACAAAAAAAAAAAAAACATTAAGAAGCAATTGACGGAAAGAAAAGAAAGAGGGGAAAAAGAAACATAAAATCTCAAGTATTGCATCATATATTTTACAGATCATATAAGTTAATGGCCACGTGCATCCCATCCAACCTGTTCTTAGCAAAAAGAAAAATAATAATAATGCCCGCATGCCGCAATTTTCGAAAACTGGGTTCCATTTGTAGCATTCAGTCAACCACATGAAAGTCAAACCAAAACCCGTTTTCGGTGAGGATCAAAGGACGCATCGCACAACTCGTTCGAAACAGATCGTTCAAAACAAACACGCTCCAAACCGTAAATCATTAGTCAACGAAAGAAGTCGCTCGAAAACACAAATCCGATTAAATTTCCGACCCGTTTTCAAACAATAATCCAAAAAGATCAACAATATAAACGTCTGATCAAACAAAGTCCAAAAACACACTCAATTCCAAGGAAAATTCAGAGGAACAAACACTCAAAAATTCCAATAGTTCAATAAACCAACAGAAATTCAACAAAATACACACAGATTGCGTTCTGCTCATGCGGAAAGAACGCGCTATCCGAAATTTCGAACAACAAGCACAACAAACAGGTAAACAAGAAGACGCCACCACTTCGACACAAAAAAAGGCATAAAAGAATGCAAAAACTCACCTGTTCCGCAGAAGAAGAAACTCTTCCAGAGCGAAACGGACAAAAACAGAGACAAAGAAGAGTGGCGATGAATGGAAACTTTGGCGTGAAATTACCGCTTTGAATAAATAATTATGCACTAAAATCGTAACAGCGTCCAAGGATTTGGTGGAATTTACAACTCCATATAGAGAGAGAAACCCTGGAAATTTCTAGAGAGAGAGTGGAAGGTATGAATGAATGATCTGTTTGGTGGTCTGGAGGACTGCTCAGTGAAAGCAAAGTAGAGAGAGAGAGAGAGGAGAGAGAGAGAGATCTGTTAGTTGTACCGGCTGTGATCTCAGGCTTGAGCCGGTGCGGCAGAATCCAATTCCCGTTTGAATTTTTTTTTTTCAAATAATTTATTTAAGAGACTTGGCTCCAAATTCGAGGCTTTTCGCATAAAGGCGCAATTCTACGGAATTGGAATTTTCTCAATTAAATATATATTTTTTTACTGAAATTATACTTTTGGTTCTTGTTCCTGTATTTTTTTTTTCTTGCAAGATTCTTTTATTTATGTGTATAGTTTGAATGAGTCAATTTTAGCTTTCTATTAAGAAAATTAAATTTGATTAAAACGTCAAATCTTAGTTAAATTATTCTTTTTTTTGTTATTTTCCGATTATAAAACTAGCTGCTTTTATAAACATTTGTCATTTTTTAAGAATGGATTCTTTTTATATATATATTTTAAAGAATATTTATTACAAATATATGGTGGAAACTCAAATTTTGGACCTCTAAATTGAGTATTTTTTTAAGTGCAAGAGTTTAACAATACCTTTATCAGTATAATTGTGACTTAAAAGATTTAAATTTATGGGAGATATCTTAATCAATTGAGCTAAATTTAATAACTAATTATTATACATTTAAGTTGGCAAATTGATTTTTTTTCTTAATCATTTACAAATATTCAAATAATGAAACTTGGTTGTAGTTTTTTTTTTCTTTTTTAAGTCTTAGAAGTTTTAAGCTAATAAAAATAGTATAAAATTTTTTGAAGTTTAAATAATATTTAGGTGTTAACTATAGCTCAACGGGTTAATACACTTATTTCTAATTAAAATGTGAGTTCGAATCTCCACCTTTACCTGTTACAAAAAAATAATAATAAATAAAAGATTATTTAGATACTTTGTACTCTTAAATTTGGTTCATTTTAACTACTGTATCTTCAAAACATCAATTTTTGTCTCATTTTAATAATTGATGTCATGCTACAAAACGTATATTTTGGCCATTGTATTTCTTCATTTTCATTTTTATTGTTATATCATTTCTTTTAGTCACACTTTTATCATGATAATTCACTTGAAAAATACTTGAAATGTAGCTAAAAAAATTGTATTAAAGAATTAAATTTATGTGGTGTATTAAATTTATGTTGAAATATCATAAATATGAATCAAAATGGATGTTTAAAAATATAAGGATTAAAATGAGCAAAACTTGGATCCATACGAACCAAAGTTGAAATTACCCTGACATAGATAATATTTATGCCATTTTTTATTATATTTGACTTGACCAAAAAGTTTATATTTAATTTCCGCAATAAAAGAAAATTATATTTAATTAATTATTTTTTCCAACGACGCTAATACAATTTTTTAAATGCATCGTGATCATAATTAAGTTTTTTCGATCAAGTGGAGTACTTTTTGGCTAAAAAACATTTGAAATTTTATATGATATTTGACTTGCCCAAAAATATTTCCAGTTAATTAAAAGTATTTATCTTGATTTTTTCTTCAACTGCACTCCTACAAACTTTCATATAAATCCATATTTCGATTCATGTTAGTTGTGGTCTACACAGAAACACAATAATTAATATCATTGTGCATTATTATTAAAAGTCCCTCTCAAAATACACTATAAACAAAACCAAAATTTTCAAATTATTAAACATTGAATTATGTCACAACTATTATTATACGTGTGTCAAAGTGAGTATAGTTTATTGGTAATTGACATACACCTCCAATCCAGAGGTTGTACTAAAAAAATTATTATTATACTATCTTTTAATATTTGAGATAACATGTTTTAAATGTTGATGTTGATAACAACGTCGAAATCTCGATGAACTATGATCGCTTAGACGTTTTACATATTTTTATTAACTAAAAATACGAGGCGAAAATTCAACTTTAGAACTCATCAAAATATGTCTTAATTGTCCATATACTTTTTTAATGTAAGGGGATTCTATATTATTTTTCCTGCCACATTTATTTTTTTGAAAATTTTTATGATCATAGTGTGAACTTAAGATTTTAGGAAAGAAAAAAAAATATAGTATGAATAGAAATATCATATTCCCTCTCTAAATAGCATGAACAAATCAGAGAATAGGGTATTTCTATTCACGTTATGATTTTACCTTTTTAAATAATTTTTTTAATGTTGATAGACTCTAGTAGCAACCTCCATATGTAATAAAAGGAAAAAAAAATTGTAGCAATCTCCACATTATTTTGAATATGATACCGCTATGGTAGGTGGTGGATTGAAATGAATATTCATACTTCACTATAAATTTTCTCAAAACGGTCAAACTAATTTAAATGTTTAAAACTATTTGAGAAATAAATAATACAATTTAGAAATTTCACGGAAAACGAAAATATAATTTGCAAGTTATTGGATTCTTGAAGATAAATCATTCATCTCTCTTATTTTAACCTTTATGATACAATAAAGTAACTCGCCTTTTGAGTTACAAAACGTAATTCTGACCAACTTTTTATTGCTCTCCACTCCATTTTCATGGGAAAAATTTTATCTTTTTTTTTAAAAAAAAAAAACAATAAGTTTCTTGTTTATTGACTCACAAAGGAGGGATATCAAAAGGTTGCATCTACTTTTTAGGAAAATAATAATCTAGTCTGAAACATTTTTTTATTAATTTTGTTTAAAAGAAAAAAAGGGCTTTGTTTTGAGAATATATTCTTAATTTTATTTATCTATTTTCTTTGGGAAAAATGGAATGTGGATATTGATACAAAAAAATAAAAATAAATTGAATGTTGATATAAAGTTTTATATAATCCCTCCCTCCCTAACAAGATATATATTCAATAAATTCATTTGATTAAGTGAATATAATCCAAATTTTCTACAAAAACAAGTCCTTAGAAAACTAGAACTCATATTAAAAATAATAATAATAATAATAAAGAAGTTAAGATTCTAAATTGGTTTTTTATTTTTTATTTTTTGGATTAAGATTATAAATTGTTATAATATATAAAACTGTTAGTCGACCATCATATGGAAAAAAAAAATGCTAATTACTAACAGACACTTAAAAATCCATAGATCCTCTTATAAAGTTATCCGATGTGGTTTAGTTTATAAATAATATAAATCATAAACAAAATATAAATTTTAAAATAACATAGTAATTAGTAATACTTGATGCTAAAAGGTTACCGAAAAATTTATAATACTATGGGAGTACCAATTTTCCTCCATTTACTGCTTCCCATATCAATAGTGTATTAAAAATGATGTGGAGTCTATTTTTTCTATTTATTATGTAAATGAGAGATAATATGGTACTTCTGTAGCATTAAAAATTTTCCGGTTATAAAAGTTTTCATTTTTAATGTTTAGTTTTTAGAAACTTAGTTCCTTCACTTAAAATAAAATTAGACTTTATTAAAAAGTTTTATTTTGTTTTCTTCTTCTTTTTTAATTTGGTTAGAATAATAACAATATTTTGAGTAATAAGCCTAAGAAAAAACATGTGGATGAAAGTAAAATCAAAGAATTAAAGATAGTCTCAACTTTAGGTGCAAGTAAGAATTTTCATTTGATAACAATATTATCAACTTTAATCAAAACACAATAAGAACCATAATAAAACTTCTAAAAATATCAAGACTGAAGTTAAAATATATGGACGACAAATTATGATCATTAAATTTTCACAGTCCATTTTGATCTCTAAACTTTCAAAATATTTTTATCTTTAAATTTTATATAAATAACCATATCTTAATCTTATAATTAAACTTGTGGCAAATTATTTAACAATTAGTGCCTAACATAAGAACAATATTTTATTCATTTACATAATAAGTAGATAGCTACGTGAACAAATATTTAAATTTAAAGTTAGAGGTAGAAAATCAATGTTAATTTTCAAAATAAATGTATATTTATGTTAAATAAATAAATTTTTAAAAAATTGCCGTAAAAATTAAAAAAAAATTTATAAGAATTGAGTCAGAATATTTAAAAATAGAGGAACTAAAAGAAAATATATTAAAGGGTCATTTAATCATATTGAAGGAAACAAAAGGAATAGGGCAAAAAGGTTTGAGATGAAGCATTGGGTTTCATCAATTTAGATCTGATTGCATTAACTTTTGGCTTTTGGGATGAAATCTTAGGGAGGGAAAAGGGATATGATTTTCTTAATTTGAAACTTTGTGATTATCATCATGAAATATTAGGTCCCACTCAACCTTATGATATCATTGAGACGACCATTTTTTTTTTTTTGGAGAATTTTTTACTTTTGGATGATTTTGATGGCCTCATTAATGGCTTTAGTGAGGGTGAAAATACAAATGTATTGGGAAAATGTTATACTAATTATGTAAATAAAATTGTCAAAATTTTAATTTTCAAACCACCTTTTCCCATTTTTTCCCCTTTTCAACATAGTTTTAATATTTGATTATTTATCGTTTTGATGCGCAATTATGGTGATATGTTAGCAGATCCATCTTAAGTGCATTTTAACGTGACTTGACGATCACGTACATTGTGAAGTTTACAATATAATACTTAATTCGAGTTTGTTAAAGACCTATAATAGACATGAACTACTCCTCTTATAGCCAATTAGTTTTGAGATGGAACCGCATGAATATTAATAGAGTTGGCATCAAGCTCAGTTTAGTTGAATCATTTGAAAATGTGAGACTCCACTTTTCAAACATCAGCATAGAAAATTTATTCCAACGCATTTTGAAAACGTCGGGATAGATGGTCTATCTCAATGTTTCACTTTCTTTCAGTTAGCATGAGGTTCTCCCGACGACTCTATATCAACGAAAAATTTAAAAAACAAAAAAAAAAATTAGTCTAACGTTTTTCTGTATCCATAAAATGGTAATTTCCACTGGCGATTATGTAGTCATTCATGTGACTCAACTACGATCAGATTTTTAAAGTTAGAGACTTAATCATTATATATTCCTTTTATGTTTAAGAGAACTAAAAAGTTACCAAAACAATTTTCTTGAAAAAAGAAAAAACACTAACAATTTTGTGACACTTTTTTCTTCATTTACTTTTCTTTACTTAAATTAGGCGTCATATAGAATCCAAATCCATAGGGGTGTTTTAACCTTTGGATATTTTGATAAATGGGGGATGTTAATGTTAATGAAAGTCAATGAAAATGACGCAAATTAAAGTGTTAGTTGAGGATTTAAAGAAACTTGGAAAGAAGGGAAACGCTTTGGAGAGATAGAGGTGGGCGAGGCTAGTAAAATAAACCTCTTTATTTAATGGCCATTTATTTTGACAAAATTAGTTGATTTGGCAACCAAAAATAGATGGATTCCTCCTCTATTGAGCTCAACAATTGGATAATGTCATTTCTTATGCCCACTCTTTTAGTATAGCCACACATTATATATCTAACTTTTCCAAAAACAAATTTAAACTAGATTTCATAAATATCTATTGCTCGGATATTGGCCAATAATATCAATTTATCAATAGATATTTATTTGATTTGGTAACAAAAATAGATGACTTATTGTGATTGAAAAAAAATGTGACAAAACAAATTATGAAATTAACATAAATATTAACAGTAGTACAAAAATAATATATTACATTTTTAACCTCATTCGTATTCTTAAATCCACAAAACAAGTCACTAACATCTAACCTATCAAATTTAAAGAATTTACCGTAGGTTATTTTTATTATCTTTTTAAATATAAAAATGCGGACATATTTTAAAATTAATACATAGATTAAACTTTTGAGTAAAAATTGTGTAGAAAAAAAAAATCAAAAGTGACAAAATTACACCCATATGGAGGAAGAAAGGTACAAAACTCAAAAGAATTGGTATTATGTATTTTGCAATTTGGCCATGGTTTTATTCGACTTTCAATTTCAAAAGGAAAGGCCTGGACGCAGCGTTTTGATCTTGGAGCTCAGGGGTAGTTTGGTCAAATTGTACAATATTATTTTGATTTGTGAGCTTGGGAGGTTTGTGGGAGAGGCCCTCTTTCTCCTTGAATGGTGCATAAATTTGCAACGGGGGGCTAACAAATTCCACTTTTAACACCTTCTCTTCAACATACTTGCCCTCTTCTCTTAAAAACTGCAAATAATTATAATAATAATAATAATACAGTCAAAATACTAGTTTCGTCCTTGTTTTTCTTTTTTTTTTTTTGTTCATTTTAGTCNTATACTTTTAAAATGTTTATTTTGATTCCTATACTTTCTCATTTAGTTCATTTTAGTCCTTATATTTTGAAAATGTTCATTTTGGTCTCCGTACTTTTAAAAAGTGACCATTTTGGTCATTTCATTTTATTTTAAATCTCATTTTTTCTATCACAATTTCAACACCACATTATAATCAATATATTTCTTACAATGTAAACATTACTTTATACTAAATACTTCTTTTATGTATAAAATTTGTGTTAAAATCTTGCCAAGAGGGATTAAAATTATCACTTTTTAAAAGTATAGGTATTTAAATGAACATTTTCAAAGTACATGAACTAAAATAAACAAAGATTAAAAGTATAAGGACAAAAATAGTATTTTAAACTAATAATAACTATTATTGAAAGAGATCATTAATGAGAGAAAATATGTTAAAATCCAAATAAATAAATCATTCTAAAATGTATTTTCGAAGATGAATTTTATAAATTAAAAAACTAAAGTGACTCTTGATTTGAACTTAAAAAGAAGAAAGTGTACTTTTTTTAAAACTTTTTTCAAAACATTATTAGTTAAGCTAAACACAAATATTTCATAATTAACCCTTTGTTTTCGAAGGACTGAATTTAATAATTTAAATGTAATGTTTTTAATGATTTAAAAGTATTCTTAAACTTAGTCTTACCATACTTGAAGTAATATTCTCTCTTACTGTCCAAGAAGGAACCACTGTACTTTGTATTAAAAACTTGTCTTTACAACCCATGTCAGATGGAGCCGTCCTTTGAACTTGCATTGTAACTACATTTAGAACCCAAAAAAAAATATTTTTTTTTTCAAAATGTAATTTTGTTCACAAAAATAAAACATGTTATTAACTTATTGCAGCTAGAAATGGAATTTTTCCATCCCTTATTTTTTTCTTTTTATTAACCTCTTATTTGTCAAAAACACAGTGGTAATATTGGAGAGGGAGATCTGACCATAATAAGTATTATTCAAAAAATAATGTTGCCCAAAAATCTCAACTCGGAAAAAATTTAAGATATACAATGTATTTACCCTTTCCTCACTTCAATTGAAATGCTAGTATAATAATAATAATAATAATAATGAAATCTAATGACTAGCGAGATTGACAAAAATATAGAAGGATGTATTATTATATAGAAATAATGTTATCAAAAATAGGGTGCAATATCCTAATTTAAATAGTAGCTGGACAAAATTTATGAGTATAGAATTAAAAAATCTCAGGTTAATTTATTTCGTTTAGATTTTGACAATTTTGGTTGGTTTTAATAAGCATTTCCATTTTTATTTTCATTTGATAGTCAATTTTGTTGGATGGTTGGTTTGATCTTACTCAAAATGCTCCTCTATATATCTTCTAAGCAATATCTAACAATTTTTCCAATTAAATTAAAAACAACTATCTTAATTATCTTTTCATGGCCATCATCTATGATAAATGACAATATAAACACAACTTTTAATTAAGACAAAAATTGAACCTACCAATCACTTCACATGTTGAATTCGGCCAAATAATTCCGTTTGGCCATTGAACCGAATACTTCTTAGGATGAGTGGTTAAAACCTGCAACCCATATATTTTAATCTTTAACGTAAAAATGTTTAACAACTCTATCTTTTTCTACCGTCGTATTTTCATCATTAAACATGAGAGAACTCGAACAACAATATGTAATTAAAGTTGGATTGGTCGTATGTACCTTAAAGGCAACATAGTGTTGTGTGTTATTGACTAGTTGAATTTCGCTTGTGAGGCGCTTTCCCAATTCAACTGCACAAAAATTATATATATTTTACGGTTATTCACTTGTTGTAGTAAAAATGAAAAATGTTTTAATGAATTAAGACATTGGTAACATCATTTAATGGATCAATAAATTTCAACCTCCTTATTTAAACTATAAAAAAGAAAGTAATTCATTAGTAACCTCTTTTATTATATTTTAGATTTTGATTACTACTCCAATCCAATGCGTTGAAGAAAAGTTTAAGTACCGCAAAATTTTCAAAAGATAACATTTTTCTTTTTAGTTTAACAATGGTAAGATAAGAGATCGAATTAAGGAGGGTAATAAATATAATCATCCTTCGGCTCGATTCATAATATAACATAAAAAATTTAAAAGTTTTTTTTTTCTACTGAAGAAAAACTTCAACGCAAGAATCAAAAACTTTATAGGAAAATTAAAATCCAGCAACTATGACATTAGAAATCTGAAAACATACATTGATATATGATTTCTCATTAAGTACTCGAAAGAAACTCTAAAGCAACAAAAAAAAAACTATAATATGAAAAATCTAAAAATATAAATCAAGATGCGAATATAGTTATTTAAAAAAAATGCGAATATAGTTTCACAAGCGAGGAGAGAAAATTCATATTATTTATCGTTTTAAGTACTAGATTATATTGTTTTATTATTATTACTTTTTATATTTAAATCCATGAGAAACCTTTGGAATAAGATGATATTTAAACCAAAAAACTTACATAAAAATGATAGTTCCTTGGGTTGGATGTGGAGAAGCTCCATAAGGCTCATGGATTCTCTTGGTTGTGCTTGGAAGGCAGAATCCATTTTCTGTTTGGTTCGCGAGAAAATTTGCAGGGAAATGAAAAATCTGATGGGAAAGGAAGAGATTGGAGCCAAGTTGAGAGGGAAGTTTGAAAAACTGGGTTTCTTTTAGGAGCAGCCAACCAAATTTCAAGGTCAGAGGCTAAAACTATAACCCCGTCGCAAATGCTGACTCGTTTTCTGTTGAAAAAATAATGTGTGACAAATTTTATAAAGTCTCTCACGTTTGAAAGAGCCAAAAAATTGACCAAGTTTTGTGCATAATCATATGGAATAAGAGGATATTTTGATAATTGGAGAGCTAATATGAAAAAAAAAAGTTATTGATTTCAAGGAAATTTATGGGAAGTGCTTTGAGTCGATGGATTCAACTTTTGTATTTATTACTTTTTTCTAACGGTTTTTGGGATAGTAATATTTAATTTAATTAATAATAAAATTTCACCATTATATAAAATAGGTTAAAAAACACTTTTAGTTGTGTACTTTCGCTAAAATAACAATTTAGTCCCTAAACTTTAGTTTGTAACGATTTAGTCCATGTATAACAATTTAGTCCTTGAACTTTAATATGTAACAATCTAGTCATTGTAATTTAAAATTGGTAACGATTTAGTCCTTATAGTGAAAATTTTTTTTGTTAAGTTTCTTGCATGTATAGATTGATAAACTAAAGAGGGACCAAATATGTTTATGAATTAGAAAGATTAAATTGTTATATAATAAAATTTGACACTTAATTTTAATAAAAATTTTTACGATAGGGACTAAATTGTTACAAATTTTAAATTACGGAGATTAAATCGTTACAAGTTAAGGTTCATGGACTAGATTGTTACTCTAGGGAAGGCACATGGACTAAATCGTTACAAGTTAAAGTTCAGGGACTAAATTGCTACTTTAATGAAAGTACAGAGACCAAATTCGTTTTTTAACCTATAAAATAATATTAAAAACTTGCATGAAGATAAGAACTCATATATCCAATGATAAATGCATGGACATATATTAATCCTAAAAAGGAAATATGCACCTAAATTGTACCACTACTACTTATTTATTAGTTTATTTGTGGTCCTTCAAACAGATAATTGTCAATAAATTTAATCACACACCGCAAAAAATGATTATAACGTCACTATGTAATAGATAAGTATTTTAATCTCTTTCGGCACCTTGTGTCCTATTATAAACAAAGAATTGTTATTCTCTCGTCTAATACTCGGCTCTTGTGTGTGATCACATCAATATGTTAATATATATTTTCAAAATCACATTATTGATATGCTAATTATTTAACAACAAAACCAAATAATCTCATAGATCGAAATAAAATTTAAAGGAAACATTTTTGTAAGCCCATGGGCCACTTCCTAAACCAGCCCATCAGCTGTGTAGGCCCAATAAACAAGGCCCATAAGAGCTCCTTCGGATCCTCCGATTTTGCACTTGTCCGTATTGTCCTTTGTTATTTAATTCCCCAAAGTTAAATAAATAAATAAAAAGAGCCACAAATTGCCTATATAAGCTTCTGCAACGACCACGCACTTGCTCGCATTGCTTTCTCCGTCCGAATTCTACTTCGGCTACTCCGAATTCTCTCTCTCTCTCTCTTTCTTTACGGTCTTGGCAATGGCTTCGATCACAGGTTCATCAATCTGCGTGCGATCTCCGTCTCTCCAGTCGCGCCAAATCTCTGTAAATTTCCAATTCTTTCTCTCTTCGTCATTGTGTGTTTATGGATCCGTCGAACGATTTCATGTTTGCATGTTCTCTGTTCTTAATTTTATTCCTTTGATCTCGTTTACGTGTGGATTTCTCTCTTTCAATGTCGTTGATTACGAAGTTTGTGCCATTGATTTGAATCGGTGTCGTGGTTGTTGGTACTGTTTGTATTGATGGCTATGAAACGCATGGATGATGGCCATGGCGTTCCATCTCTAATTTCAGAATATTTTATATCTCTTTGTTTTATTTTTTTTACTTTCATTCGAGTTATTTCATTACTGATTTTAGTTTCTTGTCTAATTATCACGGCTATTTGGGGCTGAGGACCGAAGGGAAGAGTTTCGAAACTATTTGCTCCCCCTCCCTTTAAAATGTTCAGTGAAAACAGTATTTTCAGTTAGAAAATTGCTTTAGACCTTAATTCTTACTCGAATTTATGTCCTGAAAGAAATTAATTTAAAGCGCGAAAGCAAACCATTAGTTACGAGTGATTTCTGGAAATCCTTACATAAACCATTGTTATTCTTAAGTCCTGAAAAATTTTATGTTTGGGAATTATAATTGGTTTATTGATCTTTTTAAACTCTCTCTCTGTGTCAAGAACTTGTGCTATCTCATACAATCTGCTGATTATTTTGGTGAAATTGTTTCTTGGTGAGCAGGCAATATCCAAGCTTTCTGGCTTGAAGAGGGTCTCCTTTTCTTACCAAGGAAGAAATACCTTCTCTCTTAGAAGATCACAATCGATTCGAATTTCATGCGCTGTGAGCTTTTAGTTTTTTTACTGCATGCCCTTAGTGAAAGCGCCAATTACTGTTGCTTTATGATGTTTACTGCTACTGAGCAGGCCAAACCAGAGACAGTTGAAAAGGTTAGCAGAATAGTGAAGAAGCAACTGGCACTGCCAGATGACTCCACTGTTAATGGCGAGTCCAAATTTGCAACCCTTGGAGCTGATTCTCTTGACACGGTAAACTTGTATTGTACCTTCCTATCATGTTTCATGGAACCTATAGTTCGCATTCTTATTTCTTAGACGAAATACCATTGTATCTATTTTAGTTGTGAAACTTTATAAATTTTGTTGTGGTTTAAATTTTAGGTTATACTTCTAAATAAGTAGTCCCTATACTTAACACCATTAACTCAAAATGTTGTCGATCTTAGGGATATAAGAAACATTTTTGAGTTCTTAGTTATATGATTCAAACCCATTTCTTTCCCATTAAAACTTGTCTTTTGTTTTAGGCACTGTTGAATAGTGTTTTAATAAAAACTTATTCTTGTTTGCTTTTTGCTTTAGAACAAAAATTCTCTAGATGACCAATTTTTTTAGAATAATTGGTTCTTTTTTATAAATAGTAATTTCACTTTGCTCAAAAGCTATTTTTAGAATTGTTTTTCATGACTATCCAACCTGTGTTTGGTTGAGTCACATATCTTCAATCAAAAGGTCTCTCAATATACGTCGTCTGACATTTTCAACAAAATTTTAATACTTTAGATGAAAATTCAGGTTGAGATCGTGATGGGACTCGAGGAGGAATTTGGGATCACTGTGGAAGAGGAGAGCGCACAGAGCATCACGACCGTTCAAGATGCTGCAGATCTGATAGAGGATCTCATCCTCAAAAAGAGTGGTTAGAGTTAGAACAGAGCCCCACTGCCTTAAGTCTAAACCAGGTCCCCTTCCCTTTTTTTACCTTTTTGCCCTTAATGTTTTTCCACTCGTAAAGTCACACTGGCGTTTGAAAAGAGGCTGTAGTAGTCTTCCTCCACCCTTCTCTACTTTTTAATGTTAGTTAATCAATGTATTAGGTCTTAAAATAATCATCATAATAATTTATAAGACTTTATTTTCTGAGCTTCTCTTCTCTTGTGTTTCATTTTATTTAGTAGCTGTTTCTTGATTCAACCCCCCTCCCCCCTTTGAACATCTTTCATTATCATAGGCTTTGTAACGGTATTCCTTTTGGATGTTTGACTTACAATTTGTGGGGATATGATATCAAAAAAAAAGGTGGGGATGTCAAAAGGAAAACGTATTTTACAAAACAAAATGTGAGAAATAATTTTTGTTAAAATTAATTTATTGGGGATTCTTTTTTATGAAATTAATTAAATTTTTAATGTTATTAATTAATGATTTTATTAACGGTTTTAACATTAATTTAAAATGTTAGTTCATTAATTTTATAAAAACGTTATTCACTTATTTCAATAAAACGTTTTTTAGTCCTTTTTAAACTCCTCTCATTTGGTGTCTTTTAAAAAGATGGAAAATATTTGCTTTGCGTGCTTTGCTTTTTTTGAAAATTATTTCGGACATGTTCTTCGATTCCATTCGACTACGACGGTTCATGCCTGAGTTTTAGAAATTGTGTTAAACCTTGGTCTGAAGTTTTGGGACCAATTTGCGTGCATGTAAATCTCCAGTTTTGGGATCAATTTGCGTGCATGTAAATCTCCTTAACACGATGTAATAAAGTTTAGATTTTGGACCAATTTGCATTTGTATAGTTCGTAATTGAATTTGGGTAGTTGATGATTTAAGGAATTTAAGATTTGTGTATGGTTTGAAATTGAACTTGTGTATACTTTCGAAAAGAAACAAGATAAAATCAATGTAAAGAGGAACGAGTTACCATGTCATTGTGCGAATTTTATAACTTTGAAATAACTTTGAATTTATGTAGTGTATGGGATAAACAAAATTTGTCTACCAAATTTGTATCATCTTACGTGACAACTATATTTATGACAAATTTTGCAACTTTTTCATTAAACTAAGGGAAAATATAACTGTGGTTAATACATTATTATCCTAAGATTTTGCAATTTTTTAATTAAACATGGAGAAATATAGCTAACATCGACAGAGTTAAATGGGTTAATATATTATAATCTTAAAATAAAAGTTTTGTACTGTCTTTACTTGAACTCTTAAAAACAAATAAGTTATTATTATTATTATTATTATTATTATTATTATTATTATTATTATTATTATTATTATTATTATTATTTAGTAAGAAAACAAATAAGTTATTTATTCTAAGTGTTTGTTTCGTTTCAAACAAAGGTATGGAATTTTTGGACCAACGGCTAAGTTTAAATAATTTTATTTGATATGTCAAAAAAAAATTATTTGAGAAAAGAAAACTACGGTTAAAGTTGGTTTTCTTGTGACATAAAATATAAAAATTTGAATTTTTTTTTTTGTATAAAAAATTGAATTGTGCGACTATAAAAATATTTGTACATTTTTTAGATTACAATAAATTTGTAAATAGTTACTATATAAAAATTATGCACAACAATTTGAATAACAAAATAAAAATTGGGTAAAAATATGAATGATACAATGGGATAATCGCAAATCTAACCTAATTGGGATAAAATATTTAAAAATAATAGCAAAAAACAATTTAAAATAAAGTATTGCCAGATAGAACGCATGCATCTGATTTATTATGACATGAGATAAAAGTATATTATTCATCGTTATTTTATTAATAACTATTAAGACTTTTTTTCCCTGTACTAAAATAATGACCTTTTTTCCCCTAAAAGATGCTCTATTTGTGAGCACTTCTAAAAAATATATTTTGTAATTACTGGTATAAAAATATATATTTGCCAGGAGTATTTTTAATATTCATTGGAAGTAATACAATAAATCTTTTAAAATGTTAAAATCACAGTAAAGTGTTGTGTATGAGAGTACTTTTTTTAGCACTATAAAAATATTAGAACAAATAAATGAAAGCAATTTGTTATTCAACATTTTTAACTAAAATGTTTGTAATAAAAAACACTTTAGCAGTAAATACTTATTTCAAGAGCATGTATTAATGTTTTAATATAATTTATTTTTAGTGGTTTAAAAATATTAGTAACAATACAAATCAACTATACAGAAAAGTAAAGAGGAGAAAATGAATATTTATGCCGATCATAGTTATAACTTTAGTTATTATGAGGTCCGAATCTCTCCTCATGCCTTATATAATGTTAGAAAATAATAACAAATAATAAAGAAAATTGCAAAAACCATCCTTCAAACTTTTAATTTGATCAATCACTCTCATAAATATACGAAGTGTTGCAATTAAATCTTTAAATATTTTAAAATATACCAATCATGGTTTAATTGAACTATAAATATTGTTATAATCATCGTCCGACCATAAGACCGTAAATTTTATACATCAATTTTTCATTGTCTTAAATCAAGATGTGATATAAAAAATAAAAATAAAAATAAAAAATCAAGATGTGGCCTCGCCATTGATTTGAAAACCAAAATTTTCATTGTTAATATTATAGTTTCAAATTTTATGTAATTAAAAAAGGTTAAATTATAAAATTATATAATTTGAGAGGTTTGAGTCTGCAACCCTTTATTGATTTTTGCAATTAAAAAAAAAACAGAAGGAAGGAAAGTGAATTTTCGGGGGGAGGAAAGCGAAAATAAAATGGGTGTGGGGGCCGAAATGAAAATTGAGAAACGTTAACGAACTAACCGTTCCCAACCAAAAACCGCGGCACGTCCAAAAAAACAAACAAATTCGTCTTCCGTCGTCTTCTCAACCTCCTTCATGTTCGCATTGGATCGCTTCATTTCGTTACCAGCTTCGATCTCCGGCAACGACATTCACAATCCATCGTTTCTCCGAATCACGGTGGCAACAATATGGAGGTTTAATCCGGATGAATTTTGTTTTCTCTATCCGTTCGTGGAGCTTCAACCCTGAATATGAATGAGTCGTTCGTGAGTCGGTAGCAACATAGGATCTGATTGTCGAATTCGCAGCTCGAACATTACGTAGGTTGGCAATCTTACTCTCTCTCCTTGCTGAGTTCGATTGTTCGAATTCTTCGAATACGTGAAATCCTACTTCGATTTCGGCTTTTCCGATCATTTTCATTCGTAGGTAATTGTTTGTTCAAATTTGGGTCAATATCAGTGAGGCAGATCTATTTCTCAGAAAATGGTGTTTTCTTCACCTATGTGTTTGTGAGCTTATGAGAGCGATACCTTTTTTCTATAATCATAATATTATTAAGCACTATATTCCCACACTCAGACTTCATGTTGATAACAGGAGCTATGGATCGGATGAGACCTGTATATACTCGGCAGAAAAGTAACACTGGCACCCCACTGGCTCCAGAGTCGCCATTGGTGTCATCGATTCCCCACCATGCGCGAACAGGTTCAACTGGCTTGGCAAATTCCAAGAGAGGACAGAACAATGCAGCGAAAGCTGCAGCACAAAGGCTTGCAAAAGTGATGGCAAGTTCAGCTGATGATGAGGATGAAGAAGATGATCTTTCTTTTGATTATAGTTTGTCAAGTGGCACAGGGAGCATTGGACTAGCAGGTGGAAGATCAGTCAGATCCCGCTCTCCTATGGTAACTGTCGGTGTTAGTTTGCTTATATTTGTTCAGGTTTGCATGATATTCTTTTTGTGATAATGTGTGTGACAGTTCAGGCATGAAGGTTAGTCGTCTTTCTGCTCACTTATTACTATATCTATACTTTCCGAGTTGCTGCTTGTCATTAAGATTCATTTCTTGGCTGAGAACATGTTAGTTATTAGCTTCGACTTTATCCTTCTCAAATAGAAGATATTTTATCCTGCTTTACTACGGTTGAAACATAGATATGTAAAGCCCTAATAGTAGTAAACACCCAACTTAAGGTAATTAATAACATCGCTGCAATTAAGAAGGGATCAGTGCCATCTTTTTCTTTATGCTAATTTAGTTCACACATTTTTTCGAAATTCGAGCATGTGATATAATTTATAATGTGTAATGGACATGGACTGGTTGAACTCAAAAAATCAGTGAACTCTTTAAATTGACAACGGTGGATTGTGTTTCATCTTAATTCGATCTAATTCTTATTTTGTAGTATTTTTTATTATTCATAAGCTCCATTATTCAATTATAATTTGAGTTTTAAGAGTCAAACAGTATTCAAGATCTTCTTGAGAACTTAGATTGTACAATTTGCTTGTGATTTAATTTTATATGAATTGCTTGTTTGCATTATTTTATAGAATCATTTTAGCATTGTGTTAAGACTGTTAGTATATATTATTTCCATGTCTTACTTGCAAACCTTGTATGTGCTAATTTTAAAATATAGCCATCTGTTCGTACCATTCAAGAACAACCTACTTCTAGACATGCGGGATCGGGAGGTCGAGCATCTCAAGCTGTGAACCATGGAGAGCAGCCAATGTCGGCTCGTTCAACACTAGGACCTCGATCATCTCAATCTGATGCTACTGTTGAACAACCACCCATTTCTCGCACTTCAACAGCTAGATCCCAGTTCGCCAATTCCATAGAGCAATCTCCATCTGCTCGTTCGACATTAAGTAGTCGTCAAAATTTAGGAGTCAAGACAGTTCCATTGGTACCTTCTTCTGTACCCATTTCACTTAAACCAACCTTGCCTGTAACTCCCAAAGAGAGTCAATTTGATACTAGAACATCACTTAGACCAACCTTGTCAGTAACTCCAAAAGAGGATCAGTTTGATACTAGAACATCAGTTAGATCAACCTTGCCTGTTACTCCAAAAGAGGGCCAGTTTGATACTAAAATATCACTTAGACCAACCTTACCTGTAACTCCAAAAGAGGGTCAGTTCGATACTAAAACATCACATAGACCAACCTTGCCTGTTACTCCAAAAGAGGGTCAGTTTGATACTAAAATATCTCTTAGACCAACCTTGCCAGTAACTCCAACAGAGGGGCACTTTGATACTAGAAGAGATAAAAGGTATTAGGCAGCTTATAGCTTTTTTGGAATAATGTCAATATCATCAATATGTCATCTTTTGCTTCTATGCTAATTTGTCAAACAGAGAAGAAACTTTACCCGTACTATTCTTATGAAAACTATCTGCCTACAACTTATTGTTAAATCACCAATTAAAATATGTCATCAGTGAGGACGTGATAATGCGAACATTCTATGTTGATAGTATTTGTATGAAGGAAGTCCTATGACACTTGTTTACTCTGGGAAATGTGATTTATTTGGATACCATTTAATGTCATCTTTGTTAAGAGTGTTTAGGATTTCATTACTTTGTGATGTTTTTGTTTGTTATTTAAGAATTAACTCTTATTTGGGAGTAAAATCAATGGATCTTGCTATTATCAAAGAACTTTGGTTTCCACTACCTTCTCATAGCACGCTAGATTTTCATATAGAGATTTAATTTAGGTGCTTGCAAGTAATGTGAAGTAAGAGTTGTTGTATCTTGTCGCTAATATTTGCTGCTCAAATGTCTATATCCTGATTGTGCTGGTCCATGGACAGGTTGTCTTTGGATATGGGAAGCATGAACTTCAGAGAAACTGGCAACCAGCCTTCCAGTTCTGCTTTACAAGATGAGGTATAGGATACCTTTACAGCCTATAAGATATCCGAGGTTGAGCTCATTTAATTAATAAAAAAAAATTCACACAATAATTTACTATCACTCATGCTAATGTCATCTCCTTCCTCTTTTTTTCTTCTTCTTTTCTTCTTCTTTTGATTGTGTAAAGTCCAGTCAGAAATAATGTCTTTACTGACCATGGTCATATGTTTTCCCTGCTGACTCGGTTAGCTGGCTTGAAGAATCCAAATAATGGACTTGTTTCCACGTGTAATGTATTTGGCCATTTCAGAGGTCTACCGGTCTAGCCTTTTCCAGAAAGGAATTAAAGTTTTATGTGCCTCTTGTACTGAGTTTTTCGTTTTGTTATTAATTTAGGATCAAGTTAATATGCTTAGTTTGAACTTCCTTGACTGAACTGAGATATTTGGATACATGCACAAAGATTTTGCTCTTTCAAGATTCTGACAATGATGGTAATGATATTGTTGCAGCTTGATATGGTACAGGAGGAAAATGAAAGTTTACTTGAAAAGGTGATGCCAACAACTTTTCTGGTTCTTCTTATGTGACTGTTATTAGCGAATTCTTATAGAATTATAGCGTCGTCAATTCAACAAGAACAACTTATACATGTAATGGAACAATATTCTTTTCGAAATCACTGATTTAAACAAGAAAAAAGGATCTATAATTTAAGATTTCGTTTGTCTTTAGCATGAAAACTAGTTCAATGCCCATCCGGCTTCTAAATTACTTAGTCCATAGTCTGAGACTTTGATTAATCTAATGCAGCACAATTCATATCTCCTGATAATGGCATAACATTGATGTAAAAGTGATAGCCTTTTCATTTATTCCATTTGGCATATATCTAATATGTGCCTCCCCAGCTTCGACTTGCAGAAGAAAGATGTGAGGAAGCAGAGGCCAGAGCCCGACAGCTTGAGAGTCAGGTAAAAAAATATTAGTTGGGTTAAATGATATTACAATCTGCCACGATTTGAAAATGTTATTTACACTGAAAAACTCTGCTCATGCTATGGAAAATACTATATATTTTTTTTCTACAAAGACACTCTCTTTAATACATTGCCAATGGGTCTATTCTCATTTACTCCCATCTCATTTCTCTTAATCATTTGCTATGTCAATTTACAATCTATAGATTAATTAATGCCATCCCGTGTTAATTGTTCCTTTTTGACCTTATCTTCCTCTGGTTTGTCTTGGTTAGTATTTATGCTGTTAGTAGTCATTGTGTTAATATTTTCATTTCATCTGATGTTTGTTTCGCACTATTAGATAGGAAAAGAATTTTGATGATTTCTGGAACAAGCAAGTTGTCCATTTTTTAATGAGTTTCTTTCAGACAAAATCCAGAGAGAAAATTCTGGGAGTAGGGTGTCTTTCTTTTGAAACGAAGCTAACCGGATTGGTCCTGTTTAACAACCTTTTCGCATAAGTGTGCTATAGTTGCAGCATACTCGTTAGTTTATTGGTACAGAAAGTTTAATCTATAGGTCATAGTGATGGGAACATACATTGTCAAAAATATCAATCTCATCCAATGTACACATTTTGAAATACTCGAATGTGCTTTTTAGGTTTCTATGCTTGGAGAAGGTGTGACATTGGAAGCCCGTCTTTTGAGCAGGTTATCACCTTACTTTTCTTTCCACTTGCAACTAACAAGCTACTTCAGTTTTCATATGATCTAATAATTAATTATTTTTTTTGCTTCCAGGAAGGAGGCTGCTTTGCAGCAAAGAGAGGTTTGTATAACTAAAACTGTCAGCTGCTTCCATGGAGAAGGACCATTAGATTGCACTTTCGCGACATTCTTTAGGTGGATAGAGTGGATCTAGGATAGGTCATGCTGAAGTCTCCTACATCGACTATTCTAACTCTGCATTATTTATTATCCCAGTGTGAATGTGTTATTCCCAATTTCCATGCCACCCATTAAAACTAGGATCGGCACTAAAAATAACCTATCATACTCTTTCTGTGGTTGGTCTATTTATATTTAACAAAGGATTATGTACTTGGTATTATTGTTGTATAAGTAAGTTGTATCCATCCGTTCCTTGCAGGCTGCTTTGAGAGTTGCATCACAATCTCATGGGGCCAAAGGTACTCATCATATTGCTGCACTTAGAACTGAAGCAGAGGTATGCCGAAGTTTAAACCTGTATATAAACTATTCTCCACTAATATTGATATTATTTGATGGGCATAAAATATGAATGTTCAATTGAATTTGACTCGTGGGTACTTTACTCAGACTGCAAGGGATGAGGCAACATCTGCTTTAGAGCACCTGCACGAAGCTGAGGCTGAGTTGCAGTCACTTCGGATTATAACCCATAGAATGATGTTGACTAAAGAAGAAATGGTCTGTAGTTCAAGCTTCATAGTACTTGCTTTCTTTCTGGTCCTATCTTAGGCATACCTGTGTGACATGCTTCTTTCCTGCTAGGAAGAGGTTGTTTTGAAGAGGTGTTGGCTTGCTCGATACTGGGGCTTATGCATCCGTTACGGTGATTTTTTTTCTTTGGAACTTGGACGGTGCTTTTCTTTTGTTGTTTCAAATTGACCAAAATTATGATATATATGGATCCCCTATTATCTGCTGCAACAGATAGTCTTGCATTAAGAGTGAGATCAGCACCATAGAATCCTTTGTCCACTTTTCTTTGAGATAAAGCTGCAAATCGAAAAGCTAGATATAGGACCATCTCCCTGGTATTCCTATCATAGATGAACAAACCATAATTGCTTAATTTTCTTCATTCTTCGTTGAGAGTGGTATGATTTTAACAATGAAACAACAACATGCAAATGGTGGAACATAACTAATGTTTTGACGTTAAATAATTATCTGTAAAGCAGATATTAAGGTTTAGAAGCCTTTACCAAAATCTTGTCTAAAATATTCCTTAACTAGGTATATTGGTTGAAAAACATGTTACGATCTTGATTTACATGATGATATGTATAAATCGTGACAATAAGAGGCATTATGGGATGATTATTCATAAGACACGTGGATCCCAGTTAAAATGAGCAGCTACACCCAGTAAACTTTTAATAGCCCGTAGGGCATGTTGGAATTTCGGATGTGTAGTCATTGCCTTTGTTTGTCAAAATTGTCTGTTCATTTTCCAAACACAGTGGTCCCCAATCCTTTAGATCAACTAGAACTATTGGCTTTCTAACTTATTCTTGCTGACTCATACAATCTTCTTTCATGTGCCATATAGTGGATTTGAACTATGTCTGGACTAACTTCGAGATCGTTAGGTTGATTTTTTTTTCTATTATTTTATTATTATTATTCTTTTAATAAAAACCTTGGCAGGTATTCATGCTGAGGTCGCTGGAGCAAGATCTGAATACTGGTCATCTTTTACCTCAAATCCTGCAGAAGTTGTTCTGGAAGCTGCAAAGAAAGCTAAAGAGGAGATAGGTAAAACTCTTGTGATGGGATGGCAATGTTTAAAGATCTCTCTCTCCTTTTTCCTACTGTGGGGGGTTCTTTCTATCCAGCTTCTGAATGATCTGATGGAATCTTTTCACCTTTATGTGGCTCATGTTCATTGATGCTGTTACACTTTTCTATTATTACCAGCAATCAATGATTTGGAGGGAAGAGAAAATCAACAAGACTTGGATAAATTTTCCAGTGAAGCAAATGCCGAGAGCATGCTTTTAGTGGAGAGAGGTTTACGGGAGCTGGCTGCATTGAAGGTTCCGGATATACTCATACCCTTACAAGTCTTGCAAATCCTCATTTTTTTAGTATCATATTCTTCTGGATTTATACACAACAAAATAAAGATTTCCAGGACATAGAATATTCTCTATTCAATGGACACCTGGAACTGATCCTTTAAAATAAAGGAAAAAACTTTTCATCTATGCTAAAGTATTAAAAGTAAATAAAAATAACGAGAATATTTACTGCAGTAGCTAAAGCAGAATAGGGGAACCAAAAAGGAAAAGAAAGACTCGCACTAAGAACCTGGATCAATAATAACCCATGAAAAGACCCAGCAAGAGAGTGGGAGGTTGGAATAATTTCTATGTCGGTTACTTAGTCATAACAGCAAAGGAAAATTTAAAAGAAGACAGGAATGAAATAGGAGGCTTGAGGCAGCAACAGATAGATTCTGTCTTGAGTTCCAGCAGCATCTATTTTGTTGTTCTATTTTGAAAGGATGAAATGTTGTGTGCTTTTTCTAATGTTTGAATTTTCATTAAATTGAACATTGCATGAAAATCCATGCATCTTTAAATCTTCAACACACGAAAGCAATGAAACATATTAAAATACACACATATATTTTCTGAAAGTGTGTTAATCAGCACATCCGTCATTTGTATTCCGGTTTTTTGAAAATGGTGCATCACTCTCCTCATACCATGTCCATAATTCTGTGCTTCATACAATTGTAGCAAAAATGATGTTTAGGGGAAAAAATTAAGGGAGGGAGAGATGCCACTCTCTTGGCTTGTATATTTGTAGCCTGAAAGTTTACCATAATACAAATATCTGGACAGTGAAATAGAGTTTCGTATTGCCTATATGCTAGGTTCTTTCATGGCCAATACATATCTGTAAAATGATCAGTCAGATAATCATATCATGTCTGGTCTTGTTTTTCTATCATAAAGTACGCATCTCTGCAATCTCATGTTTTCTTAATTGGAATTATTTTAATATTACAATTCAATTTAACATGAATAAACATGAGTGGAAAATATTTTTTTCTTTCTTTTATCAAGTTGGAGTATTTGAAATTGTAATCATGAATTTTATTTGAAATTCTAATCATGAATTTAGTTTTCTTTCTACTTTATAGTTGATAGTCAGAATTCTGTCACTTCTGCTTGTGGTAGCTTAGTTACTATTATCATTTTTCTATTTCCCGTGATTATAAGTTTCTAATGAAATTATTTTGAAGGTAGAGGACGCAGTGGCTCTTGCAATGGCTCGTGAGCGATGTGCAAATTTGCTAAAACCAGGTGGGAAATCATATAAAAGAAAGGCTTAAATGTACTGGTCGTCAAATAATTCATGAGATGAATGTTGAGAAAACAACAAAAAGTACCCCACTCTAGTGGGCTTTGAACTTCATTATGGATTACATTAATGATATCGAACTTCCTATCCCTTGTAGTTCTATAATGTTTATGCCAAAGTTCTAGACACATAGGATTAGAACTTATTTCATGCATGCTTAATCTTTGTTGATACTGGTTAGGAGCATCTGAAGTCTTCATTGATGCTGTTACTTCCATATGTAAATGCGGCTATATAATTGTCTGGTTTTCCATCAATTCTAGCTGTCATAGAATCTTGGTAAGGGACGTGAGAGTTAATATGTGAAGCCTAACAGTGCTTGCCCTTTATTGCTATTTGCGTAGATGAATTGAAGCTGCCAATAGAAGGACAATTTGAAGCATTTGGTAAGTTAACTGAAAACACTTTGCCCTTTTATTTTTTAATTTTTCCTTGTATAAAAAAATTTGGTTTTTATTTAAGAAATGAGAAAGACTTATATCTTGACTTCAGTATAGCAGTTTACTTGGGGAGGAATTTGTGATATACACGAGGTTTAAAAAATGAAAAACAATATATCTGAACGCGTGCAAATAAGTTTGTTAACAATTAAATAGCACATGTAGTTGGAAGCTACTTTAGAAGTTTCAGGATAGGTTACTATGATACTTTGTTTGTCTCACTTATCAGTTACCATGCAACCCAATTTTAAAAATATCTTGGAGAACCTAAGTGTTACATTATGTGATAGAAAATATACGAGATAATGTTCCATACACTAGAGGTATATATATATATAAGCACATATGAGAGGCATAAACTAATATAGTGTAAAATTACAATAAAGGACAAGAAAATAATAAACTTCTGGATGGATCAAATATACATGTTGTAACACTAAGAAAACATCTCAAACATTTTAGAAAAAACTTAGATACTAGAGAATTCCCTCGACTTATCAGAGCTTTTAGAATGTTTTTATTATTTTTGAGTTGGGAGTGTCGGTAAAATCCTTTTTGGAGGAAAATGTCTTTATCCTAGCAAGAGAATGCGTGGCAGCGAAGAGGGAGGATGGCAGTATCTACCCTGTCCATCAAGGTGGAATTAAAATCCTTCAGTATATCCTTGATGAGAGGTATAAAGGAGGAAGAGTAAGACTGGAGGAAAAGGGAAAGTAGTATCCTCAACCTTTACCCAGCTTGTTGCAGTAGCAAGGTTGGGGATGGAGCCTTATATAGCCCGAGGAATAAGAACAACATCCTCTATAGACAAAGCATGGTGCGATACCTCAATTGCTTATTGTAGTACTTTACATTTGATAAAATGGTTACACTGCATACTGCCTCGTTCTAGTATGAATAGACTCGACTTCCTTCCATTGAGTTAATCTTGAAAACTAATAAAGACTGAGATCAAATCTTAGACACCTTTACAAAAAACTTAAATACATAAAATTTGTAGAGCCTCGACGAGAACTTAGTACAATATACAGATCTATAATAGTTAGTGTTGATGGGGTGTTAAAGTCACAACACTAACTATTTTAGAAATAACTGACTGTTAGATAAATATCTCTTTACTTGGATTTCAAGAAAATCTTGGAAATTCCTCTAGACTTAAATAAGCAATTCTAGAAAATTTTAATGTACTAGACCTCTAAGTAAAGTCTAGGAGAATATTTCTGTCTGTAAATAGAAAAGTCTGTACTCTCATTGTGAGCAAGTGAGCAAAGTAAGTGAGTAAAGCACAAATATAAGAGGGGGTTATCTAAAAGTGTCGTTTTTTTTTTTTTAATAAAAGCTTTGTTTTCACCCATCTTGTTTGTGCATTTATTCTACATATTACACTAGTCTCAGATTGATGTTACTAGAAATAACTTTCCACTGGTTACCAAATTGAAGTCATCAATCACACAATGCACTACAAGAATTGTATATCAATTGTCAACTCCCAGAATCTTTAGTTTGCATCCCTAATACATATACGAAAAACTATAGTGTTGTTGGAGTTCCATAATATGATTCATGACAGTTTTGAAAAGTGATTATCCGGAGCTTACATAAAAGAAGAGAACATTTGTGTTATTTGTAAAGAGCGCACCTTTCTAAAATTCTTTATCATGACTAAGTTGAATTGCAAAAGGAGGCTGGGAGCTGCCTTAGGCTCTGGTCAGTTGTAGATTATAAACCGTGAGAGGCTAACATATATGGCTGATGGTTGTTCGTGTTCCCTTATATCTTTAACATGGATTTGGATATCTTACCCATGCTATGAATTTATTATAGTTTTTCAAGTTTCTTACTTTTAATATTCGAATTACAAAACAAACGAACTCTTCAGTTTTAGTGAATCTTATACAAATTGTTTTAAATGAAATGCACTTACAGAATTAAGCCAAGAGGAGATGGAGGATGTATCTTTTAAGCAGGTATATAATGACTTCCTCTGTTTAGTCAACTTGGTTCTTCGTATGTGTGTGTGTGTTTGTTTTTTTTTTTCTTTTTTCTTTTTTTAATTCTTTTCAACTTGTTCCGTTTGTCTGGTTTCTAATTTTTACGTGACTTGGGGCTAAAATGGTAGCATAGTAAGGAGTATGTGGGATATATTGCTAACAAATAGAAAAGATGGAATAAAGGATGAACTGTCGGAGGCAATGACTTGGACTTTATTTGTTTATAGAACTTCTGGAAAATTTAAATTTGAGCGTAATACCTAACTAGATGAACACGATTAAAAATTTGACAGCTATTTTTTTTAAATAAAAAATCTCTATTCTCTCTCCCTTTGTACATTCATTTCTCCTAAATGTAAAAACACAATTATGGTTAGTAGGCCAAGTAGTATTCTTATGAAGAACTTCCTTTGTTGACATTGACTCAGTCAATTGGCCATTTAACAACAGTTTAAGCTCTATGTAGAAAATGATTAATTTATCGACGTTTTGATCTCAGTTGCTATTAAAAAAAAAAAAAAGTTTTCGGATTCACAGTTCACTGTAAAAGGCACCGTTTAATAATGATTTTTTTTTTTTCGTTTTTGCTCTTTGGTTTGAGAACTACTTTTCTGTTCTTCAAAAATAGAAAACAAAAACATGTTAGATAATGTTTTTGGTTTTCTGTTTTTCCATAAAAATAAAAATAAATTAAAATGTTTAATAATGGTTTTTAAGAATTTAGTGTATAATAATTATAGAATTACAATTCTTTTTTTTTTAATTATAATATAAGTTAGAAAAAGAAAGAGATATCTTAGAGAGAGATAAGAAAGAGAGAAAGAAAGGTAGTTGGAGAGAAATAAGCTGGAGAGATGTTAGAAAGTGATGTAAGTTAGAGAGAGATATTAAACAAAAAAAAGTTGGATAGTTAAAAGTGGTTAGAGAGACATAAGTTAGAGCAAGAGAAAGATGTTTGAGAGAGACATTCAAGAGGAAGAAGTTAGAGAGAGATTCATCAAAGAGATATATTAGAAAGAGAGAAATAAGTGAGATGGATATTTTAGCTAAAGAGGAGCTATCTGTGATCACATAGATTGCCAGAGCTATTTTTAAAAACTTCTTTCAATACTTGTAATTTATTGAAAAAAAAATCAAAATTTTAAAACTAAAAGTTGAACGAGTTATATCTAATCATTTTATTTTTCGAAAATTAATAACTTTTGAATTGGTTATCAAATAATACCTAAGCTTTTGTCATGAAATCTTTTATTGCAAAGGAAAAAAAAACATAAATGGTCATTTGCAAGAGTAAGTAATAGAACAACAATGAGAGTTGATTGGATAAGAAAATTTTTGTTATATCGTATATGAATACGAAGGAGAGATATTTGTATTTTTGATTAGTTGTACGTGGGATAGTAAAAAGTTTTCTATCTTTGATTTTATTAGGAAAAACAAGTTATAAGGTATGGGTTTGCTTCCTTTGCACAAGTCACTTAAGAGATATTTATCTATTTATTTATGATATAGGCTTGGCTCACCTATTTCTGGCGGAGAGCGAAAAATCATGAACTTGAACCAGACATAGCAGAAGAACGTTTAGAGTTCTGGATCAACCATAATAACAAATCCACTTCTCATGATGCTGTCGATGGTTTGTTCTCTCTTACACTTAAGAATCACTAACTTTAGACTAACTGCTACATTTGCCAAAAGAGCCTCTAGTGAAGGCTGATGAAGACCTTTAGTGGGCTGCCCGAAGATATTTTGCTTCTTTTGACCAACCTAACACCGCATGGATATATTAGAATTGAGCATGCTTGATGTTATTGTGCCTTACCATGACTAAGATCAAAATTAGTTTCCCTCGTTTCCATGGTTGATGTTTGCCAAAAGTTAGAAGTTGATAAAATTTTCTAAATTTGATTCTTGATTTTGGGAATGATCACATTCCCTCGTAAGGACAGGTGGGCCCTACTTTTCATTTTTCGACTGCTTTCTTTTTACTCTAATCTTTCCTTTAATACAACTAGGAAATGTCTTGTGATGTTTGCCATTTCTAATTTAACTTGAATGACATTTGCAATATTGGTAAGCAAAATTACTTTTACTCGAGTTTCAGAAATAATATATTATCAAACACAATATCATAAATTTTATTCTCTTTTCATATTGTCTCGTAGGCATTGATTTTCATTTAACTGCCCATTCTTCCTATATGCAAGTAAATGGGACTTTGATAACTTTGTCATACACCTAATACAAATTTGAAAGACTTTGCATATATTACATTATTTGACTTGAATGATAGTTCATTTGGATGCCTTTCTTTACAATTTTTACAGTTGAGCGTGGCCTCCAAGAGTTGAGGAAGCTAGGTATTGAAACCCAGCTATGGGATAAATCTCGCAAAGGGCTGGAGCTGAATCCTAACCGCAAACCTCGTCAATCTGACTTCTGAAATTATTGTGAACTTCCTTCTGAAATTTAATAAGGTAGGATTTATTGAAATATCACTTAAACTTCTGAGTTTAATATGCTATTAGAGATTCAAATTCCTTCCATTTCTTTCTCCAGCAATATTAATTTATAGTCCCCTTCTTGAGTCTTGTGCTGAGAGGAAAAATGATGTTATGAACATATTTATAAAAATTAAATAAATTCATCTACGGTCTACCTAAATTTTTAGTTTAGGGGTAATTTAATATAAATCACTGGGATTGTTCTATTAAGACAACTTAACTGATAAATACTTACAAGTCATTTTATATTTGATCCTCCTTATTTCAAGTTACCTTTGTATATAATATATATTAGAAAAAAAATAACTATTATTGTCGTGATCATTCACTTGGACCAATGTATCTTTTAGCGGCACTTGATTATATATATATTTTTGGGTTCATTTCGCATTTTAATGGTTTCTGGTGCAGATGGAAGAAGCTCAGAGTGAATCCCTCCATTTTTCTCAACCGTTTTGTCATGAGAATGTTGGTGTTCTTGTGGATAAACTAATACTTCTAAAATTCCTCATTTGTTTTATTTTCAACTTACAGTTACAGGTGGTCTTGGCTGACCTTTAAAAACTTATGTAATGTAATAATGACACTACCAAATGAAGGAAGAGTTTGCCTCCTGCTGCTATTCCATAGAGTTCCTTTTTTAATTAATTAATTATGAGTTTTTTATATTCAAACTGTTTTTATAATAACTTTATGTTTTCCATGATAAATATTCTGTAATTAATTGTTTCTTAATGCATTCTCACGATAATTTACTTTTTAGAGAAATATGATGCTGTTCATTTTAAGATCACGAACTCGTTTAATAGGAAATTTACTGACATTTTTTTAAATCTAGCTCCTTTGATGGAAAAGTTAATAGTTCTTTTTTATTTTATAAAAATTGAACTTTTTAGGATTTGATCAATTTGTTATCGTTTATGGCGAGCTCATCTCTTATTTCTCAGTGGCTATTGCATAACATTTGAGTTGCGTGTTGTACAAATAGTAAAACTCACTAAAAGAGTTTCCTTGCTTGTTTCTAGCCTGAAACACCTTAGCTCAAACTTGACTTTCACAAAATTACAAGAGTTTCATCTTCATCAAATTATCGTTCTTATTTGGTTCATATGAAAATACGCTCATAATACAATTAAACATTTCACTTTACAAATGAAAACTTCCTTTACCATTTGAGATATTTTTCATAGTTTTCAATACAATCTAAGACATCAAATATTCATTATTATCCAAGACACCTGTCAAAGCGAGCATACCTCAACAGTAATTGACATATATCTTCAATTTCGATTCCTCATTCCCACATGTTACTCAAAAAAAAATATTCTAAGACATCAAATATTCATTATTTTTACTTTTATTATTATTTTTTGAGATATATATTTTAATAGTTCCCAATACAATCTAAAACATCAAATTAGTTATTTTTACTTTTATTACTATTTGAGATATATATTTTTCATAATTCCCAATGACTAAGAGACCTCGAGCTATTCCGAATGACTAAGGGCTTACTTTTATTTATTATTTACCGTTTAACATAGTTGACAAAACTCTTGTACAGCGTACTCATATTATTATCTACCTGGCACTATTTATAATTCAAAAGTTTCTAACACATAATTGAACAGTTTAAAAGTTTAAGACTATTTTAAATCAAAGTTAAAAAAAAAAAAAGTTTATAGGCTAAAATTTTCAAATTGCATTCGGTGTATTATCTCATGATTTCGAGTATCAATTGCTTCCATGCTTCCAAAGTTCGCACGAGCTCAGTACTCTCGTCTTCTTCTCTTTGCACTGCTCTGAGAGGTGATGGTGCTCTGCCCTAGTATCTATCTATGGTTTGATTCTCTCTGTTGGTTCTAGTTATGATTTGATCCGAATTATCAAATTCTGTGGTGAAACTAAATTGTAGTTATCGATTTTTGTTTGAATTGAATTCAGTTTTGGACTTTTTTTGCATATCAAAGGCTACGGAACACCCTTTTTTGTTTTAATTCTGTTGAATAAGCTACGCATTAGAAGTGTCCGTTGGAACCATTGGAATTGTAACCTCCATTAGCATACAATTTGTTGCAATTGCAGGGCCAAGTTCTACAATGAAGATCACCAACTTCATGTTAAAACAAACACCTTTTTTTTCTCCTAATAATCAATTACTCCGCTACCTTATCACTTCAGAGGCAAGCCCTGAATAGAAATTTGTGGAAAGGAAAACAACAGAAATTTATAATACAATTTGAGACTACACCCAAAACTTAAATCTAATAAAAATCTGACCGATAATGTGTCAGCTTTACCTAGTCCTCAACAGAAAATTCCCGGGCATTTAACTGCAATACAATACACATTTCTTGAACCATGAAACTAATAGTTCCAGTTAGTTTAAGCATTGGCTCGAGATCCCCATTCTTCAATGTAAACTTCTCAATGATGCTACATAAAGTAAAAGCAGAAACCGCAGCAGCGAAAGAATCATCGAAATCATAACTCAGTAGCTCCTGAGGTACTGAGGAGGAAGATTTCACACCCATGTTTCCTCTTCCGTTTCTCTTTAAGAGCAAAGTCTTACCAGAAAACTACAAGTAAAAGACTCCAAAGGGGAAGACAAAACTTTTCCGCTATATAAATCCAAAGGTCTTTTAATGGCTTTACCCTCAAGATTATATAACAGGTTATATACATTTATGGCAAGCCTTCAAACCTACACAGTCAAGCAAATATGGCACAGAAAGAAGCACATTAATTAAGCTCGTCTCTTACTCAATCGCCAAGAGTTTGGCTCGTGATATCTGTCGTAGAGCGGTTCAATCCGCTCTTGCCGCTTTCTCTTGCTCATTTTTGTCGGGTCTGCAACTTTAAAGAACCTTGGAGCTAATTCAACAAGCCATTTGGGATCTATAACTGTCACTTCACGCATGTACTCTTTTGTAGTCATGACCAGCTCGTGGTATATGACCCAGTCAGGTTGTCTTTGGAATAATGCACTGCTAGGATGGATATAAACCGGTTGGTTCTCGACAAGGGTCCGATAACCTTCTTGAGGATCCTTTCTGGCTGCATGGAAAAAGAACCCTGCTGTGATTGCCTTCCTTATTTGGGTGAAATTCTTGCCAGCACTCACCACATCTAACTTATACCTGAAATTGGGCAAACATCTCCTGAGTTAGTCCCTGAGTTAGAACGCGAGTGCCTCATAGGCACAGTAAAACTTTAACGTCCAAGAGACTAATATGCAAAACTGTTCAGAAGCAGCATAGTGGATAAAAGTAAAACAAGATGCAGCAGTCTTTTATTAACATCTCTATGTGTAAGATGAAGCAAAGAACCTTAGAATCTTTAACAAGCCCAATGAACAGAGCAGTATAGTTACTTTACTACCACCTACTCCCCAAGTTCATTTTTCAACTCAATTTTCTGCAAACAAACATAATTTCACACCGCACAGTAAAATTCATTCAGTTACGTTTTTCCAAATCTTTTTAACAAGATGCATAAGCTAACTCACTGATGATAAATAGGTTGCTAGTTCGGCCTGATTCCATTCAGACAAAATATGTTTTTACTGAATTCCATTCCTACATGTAAACTAACTTTTTAAACCAAACAGATAAAAATCAAATGTGTACATGCAAGACAAGACAGAAATAGACAAACAAAACAATATAATAACAAAGATAATATCAAGAGGAAACTAGAAGATCATACTTGTCCATAATTGAAAGAAGCTGTTTTCTCACATCCTGCGCTCTCCTCAAGGATCGAGATTGAACAAAGTTCTCAAAACACCAAGGGCCTGAAAAGTTTTTGGCTTTCCACGCCTCATAAACAGCAAGCAAAGTCAGATGATCTCCCTCTGGCTGGAAAAACTTGGCCCTTTTCTGATCAGCTTGGGCTTGTTTTTCCCTTGGCCTGTAAAATATATTTCCAGTCTGAATCATTGCAATTATGGTCAAAATCTCATCGCTGCATCCAAGATCCACACTGGCTAGCAGCATCTTAGACAAAGGTGGATCTAAAGGAAATTCTGCCATTTTTCTACCCAATTTAGTCAGAAGTCCTTCTTCATCAAGTGCTCCCAGACTGTAAAGTTGTTCCATTGCCGATATTAGAGCTTGGGGAGAAGGTGGATCCATAAAATCAAACGACAGAAGATCATTTATTCCCATTGCTTTCATGGTAAGTGTAGTATGACCAAGATTTATCCTCTGGATTTCTGGTATTGTTGTAGGAGACATCTCATTGCGATAAGCACTCTCCGTATAGAGGCGGTAACATTTTCCAGGTCCTGTTCGTCCAGCACGCCCCGCACGTTGTTTGGCTGATGCTTGTGAGATAGGTGTAATAACAAGAGAATCAAGCCCTTGCTTTGGGTTATATACATTCTGTTTAGCAAACCCCGGATCAATAACATAGAAGATTCCATCTATTGTCAATGAAGCCTCAGCAATGTTAGTAGCCACTACCACCTTCCTCTTACCAGGAGGAGCAGGTTCAAAAATCCTTGATTGCATTTCACTGGGTAAGGCACTGTAGACTGGTAGAATAATTAACTCGGGAACGTTTTTACCAAGTCCTTTCATTCTCTCGTATAAAGACTGACATGCAAAATCAATCTCCTCCTGACCAGTCAAGAAAAGAAGTATGTCACCTTCAGGTTCTGTCAAGTGGATCTGCAAAACAGTTATTAGAGCAGCATCAAGATAATCAGTCTCCGGCTGCTTAGTGTAGAGGATCTCCACGGGGAAAGTTCTCCCAGGAATTGTAAAGATATTACAGTTAAAGAAATATCCTGAAAATTTTTCGGCATCTAAAGTAGCAGATGTGACAATCAAACGAAGATCAGGTCTCCTCTTCACAAGTTGCTTCAGCAACCCAAAAAGAACATCAGTGAAGATTGTTCTCTCGTGAGCTTCATCAAGCATAACTACTGAGTACTGAGACAAGTTGTCATCAATCAATATCTCCCTAAGAAGCATACCATCAGTCATATACTTGATCACAGTATCAGGTCCAGTACAATCCTCAAAACGAATTGCATATCCAACTTCCTCTCCTAAGCGGCATCCGAACTCTTCAGCGACCCTCTTCGCGACAGACATTGCAGCCACCCTACGAGGTTGAGTACATCCAATTTTACCGGATGTTGTGTACCCAGCTTCAGCAAGATACTGAGTTACCTGAGTCGTCTTACCTGAACCAGTCTCACCAATGACAACAAGTACCTGATTATCATGAACGGCCTGGATAAGTTCTTTCTTCAGCTTGTAAATGGGTAAACTCTGCCTCTGTTCCTGGATAGAGAGCTTTGACTTCTGCCCAAAACTTATATCTTTTCCATAAGCGTCCTTCTTCCACTCAGGCATATCATAGGCTGACAAGCCAACGCCCCTAAGCTCCTGTGCAAGATGTCTCTCACCAGTCTCTGGCATAGGGTCTTCCCAAGGTCGATTAAGATCCTTTGGAATCGAATCAAGCATGGTCCTCTGTTGCTGCTCACGAACTTCTCTACGCTCCTTGATGAGTGCAGATTGAAGTGCGGCTGCCCGACTCAGTGACCCTTCTGGATTTTTAAATATCTTAACTGGCGACATGTCAATTGAGTATCTGCTCTGCCCTTGTAGAAATGCAGGCTCGTCTTCATTCAACTCAATCTCAAGCTCCTCTTCAGCACCCTCTTCTTGATATAATAACCCATCTCCCTCGTCGTCATAAGAGGGATAATCACTTACACTTAGAACCCCAGATGCAATCAGTTGTTTGGCTTCCCATCTCTCTGGTGAGCTCATTCTCTTCAAAGGTCTGCGTGAAGGGACAGTGATGTTGTCTTCCACAATTTTAATTCCAGAAAGGCCAGTCCTAACCACCGGGCCATCATCCCTTGAATCTGAAGGATTCATTCTAGGACCATCATCTGTATCTTTTTTCTTCAACGGAAGCAAATCCTTACCAGAATGCTGATCAACGTCCCTCATAGAGAGGCTCAACTTTTGCCCTGAAACCGAAATGACCTTGACATAAACCTCTTGATCCCGCTTTACAACGTCTTTGGCATTGCTAATCCTTCGAGTAGCAATCTGAGAAACGTGAACCAGACCCTCCTTGCCTCTGAAATCATTTATTTGTACAAAGCAACCCGTGTCCATCACTCTGGAAACTCTACCCTTGTAGACCTTGTACAATTCAGGCTCTTGGTCGACAGGCCGGTGTTGGCCATTTTGTGTATGCTTGTCCCTATCACCTCTCCAATTGCCATTACCATCTTCTGCATCAGCCCTGTAATTCTCATTGCCTTCATGTCCATTTCTCCTACGATCCCTTTGCCTTCCACTTCTCCGGTAATCATCCCCACCGTCTTCCCTATTGTCATGCCTCTCGTCCCTTTCATATCTATCCCTGCACCTATCTCTATCCCTGTCCCGATCGCGGTACCTATCTCTATCTCTATCTCCATCTCTATCCCTAACCCTATCCCTATCCCTACCTCGATCTCTATCTCTGTCTCTGTCTCTACCTCTGTCCCCTGCCCTCGCCTTGTATCGATCATCTTCTTCATCTCTGTCCCCTCGATGCTGGTGGACTTCCAACTCGATTTCCTTCTCCAGCTCCTTCACTCTCTCCCTATCATCATCGATCGCCAACGCCCGAAACTTGCCCTTCTTCCCATCTGAATCCTTCTCTTTCTTCAACTCCTTCTCATTGGCCTTCTGCGGAGGAAGAATAAGGTGAATGATCCTCAGGAGCGAGCGAACAAAGTAATCGGGCATTTCGGCGCCGTTCTCTTTCAATTTGGCATCGAAATCATCCACCGTCTCACAACTCCGGCCCATCTCGGTTATGAACTCGGCGAGGACTTTATCTCCGAACCCTAAATGAGTTTCGAGCTCTGAGCATACCTTGGAGACGAGAGATAAATACTCCAGCTTCTTCAATCCATCATCACCGTTAGCCGAAGCAACCATCGTCGAAGGAAGATGAAAATGAAGCCCAAGATGAGAGAATTTAGGGTTATTGTGAACAAGGGCGAGATGGCGACGGAAAATCAGTGATTTTTAGACTGAATAGTTCTTTTCCACGCAGGATTTATTTTTACGGGTTTTTTGGATTAATTAAATACGGATTAAAGTAAGAAACAAGCTCCACGTAGAATCTTATAGTTCTCAATTAAAGGAAAATAAATAGTACTTTTTAAATTTATAATATTATCATTTTAAAGAAAGAAAGCGATTATATATAAATATAAATTCAAGGTATGATATTATTGTAATAAAAGAAGATGATGAAATATTAGCATGGAAAGTAAGTACAAATTTGAAATGTAAGAAAGATGGAAAAGCACCAACCTGCAAGTTTTTTTTTTTTTAATGAATGAACGTTCTTAATTTACATCTAATTTTCTTGATTATAAATTATTATATTACATTTTATCTTTGTTAAATTATGTGACATTAAATCATTAAGTTTGTTCATTCTATAATAAAAAAGAAAGGTAAGAGTGAGAGCAAGAGTAAATCTTAAAAGATCCAACCTGATGATATTGAGAGGGATAAAAATTGTTTATTTCCCCTAACTTTGTAAAAATAATTACAACATTTCACATATATAAATCAAAAGCATCAGTTTAAAAAATAAATAAATAAAAATCAAACTCATAAGCATTCTTATTATCCAAATTATGAGAATAATCGAATTTTACTTTATCTCGATTCCATCGACCACCATCTCGATACATCGTACTCTATAATTTCTTTCAACCTGAACAATGATAAATTTGGGGAAAGTGAACCGATGCCATCAACTCAGCTTTAATTTGGTTTCTTTTCACTATCAATTATCCTCTCGATCACCCATATGTGCATTGTTGTTGTCGTTGCTAAAGCAAAAGAGTAATTTTCATACCTTCACACCACTTGAAAAATTTCCCACTTCGTTTCATCCACCACCTTTTGATTTTTGGTTGGCATGAGAAAGAGATGACACATATTTATATATGGATTGGAAAAGGATTAGGAAGATGAAATGATTGGGAGAGGGTATGTGATAATTGGAAGGGGCTTAGGAAGATGAAAGGATTGAGGGAGGATATGTGGTAGATGAAAGGATTAAATCAATGAGAAAGATAAAGTTAATGAAAGAATAATTAAGAGAAAGAAGATTACTAAGAGAAATAGGGGAATTTAGAGGGGGATCGTGATGGAGAGAAGAAATAAATGGAGAGAGAGAAAGTTTGTATTTAAATGACACAATTGCCATCAAAAGAGAAGTGAAAAGAGTTATAATGAGAGGGCAAATATAGTATATAGGTGTTTCTCCTCATCTCCCCTTTTATATATACTATAGATATAGATATAGATTAAATATTCCTTTTCTCAAGAGTATTCATTTTTATCCAACTTTTTTTCAAAAGCCGTGTTTTTAGTTTTTTAGTTTTTTATTTTTTATTTTTGCCTTTTTAAAAAAAGAATAGTTGGATAATCCATTCCATTTTCTGTTTTTTTCTTCTTTTTCAAAAATCATTTTGAAATTATGTTTTTATATTTCAAAAACATTTTGAAATCTTATGTAAATTTAAAAAAAAAATAAAGTTTTCAAACTCAAAATCTGACTCCCTTTTTATACTCAACTTATTCTAAAAAGTTTATTTTGGCTCTATATTTTTTTTTCTAAATTTCTCTTTATAAATTTATTTTTTCTAAAAATTTTATATTTTAAATATTTATTATTTTTTATCTATTTCTCTCCCAATTTGTAATCGTATTTTCATTTTTTTTCTAACAAATCATATTTATTTTCTTTTTTACAAATTTAATATTTTTCTAAATTTTTTTCTCTAAAATTTCGTTTTCATCACTTTTCTTAATATATTTTTCTTTCGGAAAATTATATATTCTTGTTCAATTTTCTTACAATAACTTTTATCTATATTTGAATTTATTTTAAAAATTATATTTTGAATCTTGTTTTTATTTTTAAATTTTTTTCTACTATAATTTTTCTATTTTTTTTCTTTAACATATCTTTTCCTCTCCACTTTATTTTTTCTAATTTTTTTCTCTTTTTGTCTTAAACTTTTTCTTTCACTATTTATAAATTTTCTTATTTTTATCTGTCTAAATTTTATCTTCCAGAAATTTTATTTACAACTCTCAAAATTTATATTTTCATGTCCTAAGGGATGGCAAAAATTTTCGTACGGTCGGCCCCAAAATTAGGAAATTTATGTCCTGACCCCGTCCTGGATTTCATTTTTTAAATAATAAATATATATTTTATACTATATTTTTAATTCTAAAAATAATTAAAACCGATAATTTTTCTCAAGCTCTCAGACCGAATAACGAGGTGAAAACATAGATTAAAAATTTTCACGAGCATGAGAATGGGGGAGCCTCATCACTCACATTCACATCATTGTTATCTCTACCCTACATATAATTTTCTCTCTCTAACACTTATTTTCAATTTTCCAACTTTTAAAAACTAAAAATGGTTACCAAACTTCTCTAAACTATAATGCAACAAAGATTAAAAGTCATCTCAAGAGATCGCAACTGAGTGCCCTCCCCAATTTTGTATATAATAACTATTTAAAACGCCATGATGACGAAGTCATACACCATACATAACAATGTTGTCTTTGATTTTGTCAGCCGCAAGAACATTTGACATCTAACAGGGAGATCTTCAATACCTGACCACCGTCCACCATCACATAAAACAGTGATAAATAAGGATTATCCTATAAATCGTCTACACAACAGCAAGAGAGGTCCTTGTTATATCTCGATTTATGCTACTTATTGAAAAAAAAACCAAAGAATTGAAACAAAGCATAAAGGAAATCATTTAAAAAAAAAAACTCAACGAATGATTAGGAGAAAACACACACCCTTTACAGAAAGAATAAAGAAAGAAGGAGAACCGCCTCTGGCCACCACATCTCTAACTTTTTTCTGACTCATATATGGAAAAACTCAGATGGGAGAAGCTCCCATAATATTTTTTGTTCGCAGGTAATAATACAACTATTAAAAAAATTACAAGATAATTATTAAATATGAACTATACAATCATTTTGAATTTATGCAAAGCAATGTGTATCTTTGCGTTGATAGCATATTTTGATTTAAAATACTCCTAAAATGAAATGCATATTGCGAAAACCATCATTTTATTTATGGGCCAGGGAGAATAACATATATATATATATATATATATATATATATAGTATATACCAATAAAGATTAGACATCAGAAATCAATTAAAAAGAAAAGAAAAAACCGACGGGATCGATTCAATCTGACTTATGAAGGAATCTCTCCCTTTATAAACTTTTTTCACATTATTCTCTTTATTATCAGAATTTTATACGAAGACACCATTCTTGGAGGTCCGAGCTCGCATACCCAGCCCACACGGGGCAAAAGGAACCAAAATTCCGCCCTCTGTGTTCATTACAAGAGGTTTTAATTAGGGTTTTTCCCACTCATCCACTTGGGTTTCAATTTCAAAGAATTGGCCACTCGGAACACTGCTACTGCTCTGCACATCAATCTTATTGCTCAGCTCTTCGAGAAATTAAAGAAGGAATGGGTGCTCAGAGAAAGGGAGCGTCGCGGGTTTCCGAGGACCCCGAGGAGCTGGCAAGAGTTTCCCTGCAGGCTGTTCTTCTTGCCGATAGCTTTACCACTAAGTTTCGCCCCATAACTCTCGAACGCCCCAAGGTATTGTCCAGAAAAGCAGAGCTGTTTCTTTGGTATCTCATGTGATATTCATTTCTCACTATTGCTCATAATTTAGTAAATAGTTTGATTTTATTATGGAAATGTACAGCCCACGTCGTTAGTTTTTTCTTGGTGATATCAAGTTGCGTGCAATTCAAGTTGCCACTTAGCTATATATTTACTTGCTGCGCACGTTTTTAAATGTAAATTTCATCACTTGGTAGCGGATGGCACAACTTAAAAATAGAAGCTTAGCTGTAACAACTTTTGGAGTGTTATCTGTACCAAAGTGTTATTACTATATCATTGTACCGAATCATTTTTTATAAGCACTTTGCTGTAAGCTGGTTGCATAGACATCATGTATGAAGGCCTTAAATTCAGCTAGAACGTTTTTGAGGCATTAAAAAAATTGTATTATGCTTGTTGCATTCATATTAATTTTTATCTCTTAAGGTATTATTGCCGCTGGTAAACGTCCCGATGATTAATTATACTTTATCTTGGCTCGAATCGGCTGGTGTTGAAGAGGTGTTTGTATTTTGCTGTGCTCATTCGAAGCAAGTTATCGATTATTTGGAGAATTCTGAGTGGGTATCCCTACCAGACTTTGCAGTCACAACTATAGAGTCGCACAACTCCGTTAGTGCTGGAGATGCCCTGCGTTTGATCTATGAAAGAAATGTGGTACGCTTGTCTTGAACTGATATATGGGATTTATTTTCAATACGAGCATTCTTTATAAGAACTAAACTCAAACAAATGAATGGACTTTGACCCTTTGATGCATTTTTCTTTGGTTCTCGTATACAATATACAAACATCTATATATTTATGGATTTTATGCTTTTGATGCATTTTTATCAGGTATCAAATCCAAAATACACACAGGTTTATTTATTTTCTTGAGCAACTTGAATTCATACTCGGTAACTCAATTTTCTGTAAACTGTATTTATTTAATCTGATATGCTTATCTTATAAGTTATAACTTAGACATAAAGACAATTATTTCCTTCATAAAATAAAAACCCATTGTTTCCTTTGAAAATTTGTCCACTGAGCTATTTTGATTTTCGTATCCCTCTTAGATATCTGTATGACGAGGATCAGTCAATTCAGTTTAAATTTTAAAACTATGTGGCTTCAATTTGGAAGCTCAAATAACTGATGCGGGCTATATCATTTTGTGAATTTGTATTGAAGCGTTTTAACTTTATTTTTGGTTATCACTTTAAATGAATGTTTACACATTGGTGTTTTTATTCTCATAAAAGTGCGGGTGTATTTAATATTCTAAAGTGATTTAAATGTATACGGTGGCATCCCTCCTTTGATGCTGTGAGGACATAATCAAAAAGGCATTTTTTCTAAAGAGAAAAACCACCATTCTCAGTCACTATTTCGTTTACCGCGCTACTTTTTATAATTCTTTTAACATTGTTTACCATAAATACTTTTATAATGAGTAACTATGCACTTTCTTTATGAAATCTAGTTTGTATAGTTCGTTTCACTCTCTAATTTTTTTTTGAAGATACATGGTGATTTTGTACTTATCACTGGAGACACCATAAGCAACATGTCACTTACTCGAGCTCTTCAACAACACAAAGAGAGAAAGAAGAAAGATAGTAATGCTGTTATGACTATGGTTGTCAAACGGTCAAAGCCTTCTCCAATCACACACCAATCTCGGCTTGGCACTGATGAGCTATTTATGGCAATTGATCATAATACCAAGCAACTCTTGTATTATGAGGATAAGGCCGACCATTCAAAAGGAGTTATACATCTTGACAAGTCATTGCTAATGGATAATTCTTCCATATCACTTCATAATGACATGCAGGTTATTTAATTTACCTACAAGTGTACAAGTGCTTTTTTATTTTTTATTTTCAGTATTAATGTTACATCTTGATCTATAATCTTTCTTGATAAGAAACAAATTGCATTAAAAACAAAAAATGTACTATGAAGAGGACATGTGGTCAAAATACAAGCTAGGGACGGGGAAGATTACAAATTCTCCAACTAGTCTTTTCTCATTTTGTTACATTTTGCATTTAAGTTTTCCGATTGGGTTTTTAATCCAGTGAGTGTTTTGTGAGGAACATATGTGTGTGTGTATACATATACATAAAAGTGTCACAAGTACTTCAGGATTGTTTTTTGAAACATAAGGCACTTATTTTCATGTGTTGGATAGTGTTGGACACCAAAATTCTGCTAAAAATAGGAAATAGTTGTGCAGCTGGGACCTGCTCTTGTAAATCTGTTAGTAGTGAGAGATTTACGGAGTGGAGTCATGCCAAAAGAAAAAAAAAGACTAAATCATTTTCATGTTATGCAGGATTGTTACATAGACATATGTTCCCCAGAAGTACTCAGCCTATTTACTGACAATTTTGACTACCAACATCTACGTCGTCACTTTGTCAAGGGTTTGCTCTTAGATGATGTACGTGTTCCTTATTATAGACCTCTTACCTTCTCTTTCTCGGCGAGAATTTTGGATCTCTTACATTAAGCTACTTTTATGTCTAATATTCCCTCTTATGACTAACGAACAGCTTTAATGTATATGCTAGAACTATGGTTCTCACTACACAGTTAATTAGTTCATTTTCTTTCTTTGTATTTTTTATTTTTTTGTCTATTTTTCATTTATTTTTAAAACTGTGTCATGAAACTGAAAAGCTTCTTAGTAGAAACTTTAACCTACTATGTTTTTCCCATTCAAGGTTGAGTAGGGCGGTTACTTCGATTAGGATTGAAGCGTCTCACTTTAGATGGTGGGAATGAGGACCAGATATGTGTGTGTGCTTTTTTAATTAGTAGCTTTCTTCCTTGTCTTCCTTTTCCTGATGGAGAGATGCATAGAGGAGTGTCACAGAATGCGTAGATCCTTCATAAATAGAAACTGTTACAAAACCCACTTAAGACACCAGTTATAGTTCTTTTTTTTTTGTACCTTGAATGCTTGATATTTTTTCGAAAATATATCTACTATTTTATGGCCTAGGTCAAAAAGGATTTGTCCAGTACTCAACGACTGTTTCCCGATACTTACTTGGCATTTTGTATATTTTATTTTTGGATGGTTTGCAAATTCTAAGAATTGGAACATTTAATAACAATAATTGTTGACGGGTATTCTTAATGTTAATTATTATAAACGTTTGCTCCTTTTTATCTTTTTCTTTCTCACAGCCCCCCCACTCACACACAAGAAAATGAAATAGAGATTTGCTGCTAATATAATTTTGGACAATGATTTTCAGATCATGGGCTACAAGATTTACACACACGAAATTTGCTCAAGCTATGCAGCTAGAATTGATAATTATCGAAGCTATGACACAGTAAGCAAGGACATAATACAGAGGTGGACATATCCACTGGTACCAGATGTTAAATTCTTTGGGAATTTTGCTTATAAACTTGAAAGACAGGGCATGTATAGAGCATCAGGTAATGATAAAACGATTTATGTTCTCATATTGCTTAAGTTGAGGCAGGGCTTACTAATTTTTTCTAAATGTTACTTGACATCATTATTGGAGATCAGTATATTTTTTTATAAACTTGAAAGACAGGGGGTGTGTGTGTGTGGAGGGGATTTGTGAATAAGACATCCTTGGACCAATTCATACTAATTATTTCTTTGATTTTTCTCAATGGAAACTCTTTTGGTTGATAAAAAAATATTTGAGAAGAGATTTTTCCTCAAGGAACTGAAGTGGAGGGGATGGTAGTTTTTTAATTGGGTCATGCTCGTTACCAGATAATATGCCTTCCTTCACGATCCAAAGGTCCGAAACTATTCCTTCTAAGTTGGGGGCCTTGGGGCTTTATTACCACCGTGACCTCCAGCCTTCCCACAAGTCAAGATGGATACCTTCCACAAGTGGTAATTCTTTTTTTTTTTTTTTTTATAAGAAACACCGATGGAAGGCATCCACTCCCGATGCCTTGAGGTGTAAGCCCAACTCCCCCCACTCCCGATGCTCATACTGCCACAACTTCCATCACTCTCCAATGGTTGTCAGTTCACGAAAAACCTAGTGTAGAAAGATTCCTTCTCTAGTTACTTAGTTTTTGCATCTCTTGATATTGTTAGTCCACGCCATCGTCGCCTTTTATGTGGTTTCAAATCTTGCTTTTTATTTATTTATTTTTAGAAGAAATTATTTCATTGATGGAATGAAGTAATGTAAAAAAAAAGAGAGATTACATGAAAGCCCTCCAGTTTAGGAGATTAGAGGATACCTCATAATCACAAAAGTTTAGATCTAGACCTGCAAGAGGCGACAGTGAGGACAGTGAACTCATATTTTTGAGGAATGATCGTCAACTGAGGTGAATTCTCTTCAGTCCCATAGATCGTAGTCCTACAGTGGTTTTAAATCTTCTTGATTTCATGTATCTGTGATGATCTCAAATCTTTATCATAGAATGAGGCACTTGTAGGGTCGTAGTTAGTAGTTACGACCAAAACTGACTTTTCTCCTTTTACTAGAATGAACTTTGTCGAGGTTTGAGGAAGATGAAAGTTAATAAGCACATATTCCTTTCGTTGGAGCTGATTCAATTTCCTGAACCACCCTCCCTATATTCAGGAAATGTCTACCTGCTTTGACTTATTTTCCAAATCCAGCCTTTCCCTAGTTTCCCAAGGAACAAATATGAAATACCTGACAAATTAGACTTACTCGACATAGTAGTGAAACTCACACTTTGATAAAGACCAGGAGCAAACACATCAAACTTCTTTGCAGCCTCTAGTGAGAAGAGTCCAACGGATATTCATGTTCCTCCTAATCACCCACCTTGTGCCTCTAGTTGCACCACTAGGGGAAGGAAGCTAGCTTCTAAAAGGATGAAACTGTGGATGTTCCCTTGAACTTTAATAAATCGTTGGAATGTTTACGGGATAACATAGGGGCCCAATATCTCAATAGCGCCTTTGTTTAAAGCTTAGCCTATGTATTTTTTTATTTATTTTTATCTTATTATTATTATTTTTTGTAGGTGAAGGGGGGTTTGTTCCTTCTTTACTTCTCTTCTTTGTTGCATTTTACTATCTTCTTTTGCAACGAAGTCTCTTTTGATTTTATCACATTAGTGTTTGTTCATTAAATGTTTCCATGGAAAAATTTTAGCTTATACTATCTTGAAAGAGCTTTCTCTTAACTAACTTATTTCATGTTGTCATTGGTAATGGTTTGTTTTGTATGGAGGAGCCATGGTACAAATACACGATTATAGATTGATACGTCAGTCTTACTTAACAAAGTTTTTGGTTTGTCTTGTATGTTGTCATCAATCCAATATTATAAAGTAGTATATTTATCTTCTAGAGTGAGACTGAGGGGCATTTGCCCTCATATAATTTATTATCTCTTTCAGGTTAATCTTCATATTGATGACATTTGGGTTCCTATATTACTTTCTATTTGGTTGGTTGTTTTTATTGAACTCCTTTGGAATTATTGCTCTCCCCTTGTATATTCCATTTATTAAGAGATGACGTTCTTGTAGAAAAAATTGTTGACATTTGGTTCTTCTTTAGAAATACTGCAGGCACGTTCTGCACAGGTTGGTCCTTTTACTGTTATTGGAGATAACAGCAAAATTGGTGACAACACCAAAATTACAAATTCAATTATTGGGCAAGGATGTAGTATTGGATCAAATGTTACCATAGAAGGCTCTTACATATGGGACAATGTCACCATTGAAGATGGCTGTAAACTTAGTCATGCTATTGTTTGTGATGGAGTTATTATAAAATCAGGAGCAGAACTGCAACCTGGCGTAGTTTTGTCTTTCAAGGTACTGTTCCTTTTTTTGGGTTACTAATGCAGCCAATCTATTTATTGCCCAAAATCCATTAAACTGATGTAGCAGCTAATTACTGCCCATATAGAGAAGAAAATTAAAAGAAACCGTTCTATTAGAAGATAAAAGTCATTGATTTTGTGAGACAATTTGAACAAATATGCTCAATTAAATATTAACATAAAAAGAAAAAATCACGTTAATGTATGCTGGCTATAGCCTGCACTCATGAACTTATTAATGTCTCTTGATCTTTGTTTGTTGTAGATTTGCTGACTTTTTTATTTTGATATTACACAGGTTGTTATTGGGGATCAGTTTGTTGTTCCATCATATTCAAAGGTATCTTTGTTTCAGCAACCAACCAATCAAGATAGTGATGAGGAGCTGGAATACGCAGATAATAGCAGTGGCATTGTAGAATGTAATTTCTCGGCTACTTTAAGGCAAATATTTGCTATCCATTTCAATAAAATTTTACTTTAGCATTGTGATGCACACTAGTGCTATAGTTCTTGAAGAATACTCGAAATCTGCTTTATTAAAGAGGCCAGCCCTTATTTATAGAGGCTGCCTAAAGGCCAATACACGGTAAAGCTAAGTTACCGTGAGGTAACTAGCAATTAACTAAACATGTTAGACATAAAGCTACAACTTATTAGGAAAGCCTCAAAACAACAATTAACTACTACATCACATTGCCTTTAATGTTTTCTTAAAGATAAGAGACCATTTTATTGAAAGCAATGAGATTACAAGAGGTACTAGGGGTTTGCAATTGTTGGGTGGCAAGTGACCAAGAATGGATAAGAGGGTGAGGGGGACGGTGAAGTGGTTCAGTGACCAAATGTGGTATGGCTTCATTTCTCCAAGCCAAGGGGGCGAGGATCTTTTTGTTCATCAATTCTCCATCAGATTTTAGGGTTTTAGCCTTTTAGTAATCTTGGTGTTGGAGAAGACGTGGAGTTTGTGATTGAGATAACTTGATGGCCATTCCAAGAATGTTGATGTCATTGGTCCAAGTGAGTCTTCTATGCAAGGGTAGTCAAGGAGGTGGATATAAAGGAGGTAGTGGAAGAGGAAGATGAAGTGGTGGTGGGAAATATGGATTTAATGGCTTTAGCGATGGTCAAGGTGGTTATGCGAGCGGGCCACCATGGCAGTTATGGTGGTGGCTATGGAGAAGGTGGTAATGATGGTTGCTTTAAGAGTGGCGAGATAAGGCATATGCCTAGGCTACTAGCAGAGTGAATCTCAACGTGGTGGGGATTGTAGGTGGTAGCAGTGGAGACTACACAACTACACTGGACATTTTGCCCAAGAGTGTCCAAACAGTGGCCAATGCCATTGAACTTGTAAATTAGTGACTGACATTTACTTTTCTTGTATTATGAGGGTGTTCTAATCTACAAACTCTTTTCTTATAAATTAGCCACTAGTCTTTTGTGTATCTTTTTTGCTGTCAGTGACTGATTTTTTAAAAAATAAAATTTTTGATACTAAATGGGTTCTGAAATATTTTTAATCGTCTTGTTTTTCCTTCTGAACATAACCAAATTCATTTAGTTTCAAGGTACTCTTTTTATAAAACTGCGGCTACTGCTTACTAGGCTTTGCATATGCAGTTACAGGTACAACGGACAAGTCAAATAGTGAACTGATGTCCAAATCTTTGGAAATGCAAGGCTGGCCTACATCCGAGGTTGGTATTTTTCAGATCTTCGAACCTTTACCTGATAAAACAATATTACAAATATATCAAACTCAAAATGGTATGGGAATTAAAATTGAATTGGGCACTCTTTGCATGGTTCTGTCCAAGTTTTTGTGTTGCTTGAGTATGGTATCTCTTGGTGTTCCTGAAACGTATTTTGCAGTACGTCAATCCAACTTTACGGGGTCATTTTTAAACAGAAGGCAAAGGTGGATTTTGTTGTTAAGGCTGTAACTCGGAAGGTTTGGCTGGAGAGGCAGTACAGGATTTAGAAATTATTATATATAACCTATTTCTATGTGATTTTTTAGTATGTGTTCTTTTAAAAGAAATTCAAACGAATGTGAGTCATGCCTCCTGACTTTTTAAATCCAATTTCATCCTTAACTTTATAAGAGGATAAAAACTTTACCTTTTGGGTTTTGGTATAAGATGTGCAATTGATTCTGACATTCTCAACTATTATTCTCAGCTAGGTAATGGAGGTATGGGATATGTTTGGTCAATTTGTGAAGGAAGTGTTGAAGAAGAATGGAGGCATTCAGTTGCACCCATTCCTGCCGATAAACTTGAGAAGGCTATGCAAGCCACAGATGATGAGCTGGAGTTAACTCAAGATGCTAATGTTCTACCACCTTCAGGGGAGTTGAAGTCCGACTCATATGTTTCAGATGGGGATGATAACGAAGACTCTAGAGATGACTCCATCCACTTTGAGAAAGAGGTTAAAAGTTTTGTTTTTCTTTTTCTCACGTGTTTCTGTTTGGTAACAGCAGGTACAAATGTACAATCTTTTGTGTGATTAACTTGTACTAATTTTTATTTTGCAGGTTGAAGCAACGTTTCTGAGGGCTGTGCATGAAAATATTAAAGTAGACAATGTGATTTTGGAAGTAAATTCATTGCGGTATGCTATGATCTCATCTTATTTATGCGGCGATTTCATGGATTTTGCTCCTTCCCCTTCTAAACTTATTACTTACTTTTTGCTATGCTCGGGAGCTGGTCTGTGCTTTATTAAATTTACTTTCTTGCGACAGGTTGTCATACAATAAGGTTGCTGCAGATTGTGCAGGAGCTATATTTTATTCTCTGATGAAATTTGCATTGGATTCTCCTCATAGTTCATCTAGTAAGTTCTTTGAGCCATCCTTAAATCTGTCGTTGTTTAACTTCTTGGTAGTGAGAATATACTTTGCTAAGATTTGCATAGCTGTAATCTTTATGAAATCATATTATATTTTGTCGTTAATTAGTATGTGTCAAATTATAGCTTACGGTACTATGCCTCTTAGTATTAATATTTCTTTCTTTCTTACAACAATCTTGAAACCGTATCAAAACCTTTTATATCTGTAGATGTGGAAAAGCCGTCGAGCTCTTTTCAAGAAATCACTTTATGAAATTCATGATTTAAATTCTATGTTTATCCTTTGAATTCTTATACTTAATTCCATCATGCTCCCTAAACTTTTCTATAATTTATTTTAGCCGTGAAATTTTCAAATGTTTTGTTTCGCTTTGAACTTTGCATAAAAATTCTTCTAGTCCTTACTCTAAGTACATTTGGAAATCTGACGCATAATCTTCTACAAGTGACTTTTAAGTACTTGTCCATATAAAGATCCATTGATAAGGTTGAACAAAAGACTATACTGTACCAAGTTTCAATTAAATATAATTTTTTTTATAAGAAACAGAAAATTTCATTATGAAATGGATTTCAATTAAATATTTTATTGTAGAATCAAAGACAAAGAGTCAATTGATTTTTCAGGTAAAGTTGAAAGGCAAACTGACCGTTTGAAAATTTAGGGAAATAGAAGAATAAGCACCGAAGTTCTGAACGAAGTTTTGAAACTCCATTGTTAAGTTTTCTGCTAATATTTTAGAATCCTCGGTTTTTTTGCTAATATTTTAGAATCCTCTAGTGATTCTATATTTTTATTTTTAGCAACTAACCATTGTTATTTATTAGGGGCCTTTGCATATATTGCAAATAAAATAACAACATTATGGATTTGCAAATATTGCAAAAGAAAAAGTCTAGTCCAAATCCACTCGTGAAAAAGACCAAAACAGTCTTGAAATTTCTATTAGTAGTCTATCATTGATGGACGTAAATTGGTGATTTGTAAGGGTAAAGATGAAATTATGTAAAAATGTCTAAATAAATGCGTGTAATTTTTTGAAATAATTGCCGTTTTTGGAAAATCATAATCTTGTTGCTATATTTGAAAATATGGAAATGTCAATTGCCATCTATTCAGTTCTTTTTTTAATATATATAGCTTTAGATATAATTACTATTTTCTTTTTTGTTTGAAATTCCCAAACTAATGGTATCGATTTCAGGTGAATTACTGCAAAATAGTACAAATGTAATTACAAAATGGAAAAAACTTCTGAAGTACTACCTATCTGACATGGATGAAGAGGTAATAATATTTTAAACCCTTTTTGCTCATAATCTTGACCAATATATTATAGTTAGTGCTATTTTTAATAAATTGTAGTTAGTTACACAAATCCTATATCCTCTGCAGATTGAAGTGATATTAAAATTTGAAGAGATATGCCTGGAATCTGCCAAGGAATTCACTCCACATTTTACCAAGGTATTTTTATCGTTTTCGTTGAAGCATCCAAGATATTCATTCCCTGTTAGTAGAGGTTAATTATGATTGATGCAATTTGACTTTTAGATGATGATATTAGAGGGTGAAAAATGATAAGCCTATCAGAGTAACCTTCATGTGCCAAATTTTTGTGCCTTCTAACAAAGAAGCCACTGCACAAGAAGAAACTAGGAAAAATAGGCTTAGTGATCTCTTTTCTGAAGGTTAGATGAATGATTTTCGTACACTTATCGTGTTTCGTAGATTTTGTGTCATTTGTATGACCAAGAAATCGTTCAAGAAGATGCCATTCTGAGGTGGGATGACGAGAAAAAGGAAGCAGATGATTCGGATAAATTTTTCGTTAAGCAGGCCGAGAAATTCATTGAAGTAAGAAAAATTTTATTTTCTATGTTTGTGATTCATTTTCAGAAAGAAACTTATATGCATCATGTTTGGTACAGTGGTTAAGAGTAGCATCCGAAGAGGAAGATGAAGAGGAAGAATAGGACTAGTTGAATAATACTTGTAGAATAGCAAAGAGCAAACGGAGCAGGCTGGAGAAGTCATTTTTTTGCTGAATGTTTAATTTTTTAAACATCAAATCTTTGTGGCTACGGTGGTTTCCCATTTTTCCTTTTTTAACTTCTATGATTGTCTATTGTCCTAGCATAGAAAGATAAATTTTGAGGAAAAGATGTTTACATGTTATTTTGTTCGTGAATTTTTCACCACTTATTTATTTGAGTAATTGTATTTTCAATTGTTGTATTTGTCATCTATTTTTTTAATAAGTGTCTATCAAAATATCCTATGAATAAAGTGAGGGTTTTCCGAAAGTATACTTTTTGAAAAAAGAAATATAAAAATTGAAAATCTATGACAAATATTTAAATTAACAAATAAATATTTTATATTTTATAAATAAATTAAAAATTATTAACAGTGGTATTTGGCCGATATATATATATATATATATATATATATATATATATATTTTCTTATATTGTCAATTATTTTCAAATACGGTGAAAATGTGTTGATGTCCATGATGTTCATTCCAGACATGAAAATGTTGACTTGGTCGAAAATTTAATATCTCGAATTTACATAATAATTGACTAATGAAATTTAGCATAATGAATTTAAACTAAGGAGTCATATTAAAGTTGTGTTTGGAAGGTGTGTTGATGTCCATGATGTCCATTCCAGACATGAAAATGTTGACTTGGTCGAAAATTTAATATCTAAAATTTACATAATAATTGACTAATGAAATTTAGGATAATGAATTTAAACTAAGGAGTCATCTAAAGTATTAAAGTTGTGTTTGGAAGGAACGATAGAATGAGTGATTTTTCAAAAATAGATTTAAGTATGATTGATTTTTCAAAATTACCATTCAAATGATAACTTAAAAATCAAATTAAGGTGATTTTAGATTATCTTAAAATTAATGTTTTAATTTGTCGAGAAGAATGATTTTCACAAGATCAAAATCACTCTCAAACCTACCCTAAGTATCCTAGGAATTCTCAAACATCAAATATAATAAAAAAAATTTACAAAAAAAGAATATATATTTGTCATAAAATTAGTCAAAGTATTCCTAAAAGGTATCCAGTACACTTGTGTTTGTCAGAATAAAATTAAGATTAAAAGAAAGCTCATCTCTTTAATGTGCAAAAACAGTGAACTGAAAATTACATACACAAGAATTGACAGAAAGAACTTAGCATGAAAGGAAAGACTTTAAAATAACTCAGCTAAGAATTGTGGGTTCATAATTACCTTGATCTACCTATTTGAGTTATATTACTGGTTCATAAAAGCCTGTGGGCAATGAGAACTTCTTCCGATCTCGTAAACATCTTCAAACTGCAGCCATGGAGAAACTTTTCGAGTTCTAGAAAAGCGCAATGCCCATATCAAGAGCTCAGAATACGGGATGTTGAAAAAGAATACAGATCCTCAGCATAACTCTGGCGAAAAAAGAATGTCGCATTTGCTTTCATATGTTGGTATGAGTAAAAACTTGTTTTCCCTAATGCAGACGAGAAATGCATCACAAAATTGCTGCCAGACCAAGAGAATCCCCTTCATCCAATCTGGTTTCTGAAGTACTGACTGAACCGCGGGACTTGACTGAAAGTAGGAAAGCAAAAATCAGTAGAGCTTCAAAACCATATGAAATGAAGGCGCAAAGTAAAGTTTCAGAGTAGTTACCTGATACATTAGTAATGGTATTTACACTTTTCTGGGCTGCTAGAGCCTTTAACTGGTTTCCAGTTGCTAATACAAGCAAACTCTTCATATGCTGCTTTTGTTCTTTTGGACTAGATGTCTTTGCCAAAGCTTCTTCAAAAGCTACCAAATCATCATGTTTAATGTTGGGGAGCGAGAGCAAGATCTGAAAAATTTTAAGAAACAGATATTGTACTGGCACATTAGTGATTACTTGATTAGAAATGGAATAAGTTTCATTTGTCGACATCCTACCAAATATAAAAAAAAAAATTCTCTTGTTTTCTAAAATGTAGCTTATATACATACTTCTACCTACGTATTTCTTTGTTTTATTACCTACCTTTTGAAAATGTTTTCGAAACTAAAAAAGAGTAGTTTTGATTTATTTTTGAAATTTGGCCAAGATTTGAAATGTGTTAAGAAAGGTGAAAATTTGTAAGAGAAAGCAAGCATAATTTTTAAAAAGAGAAAATAAAAGTTATCTAATGGGACAGTAGCAAATCGACCTAACCTGTCTAGGAGCTGGGTTTCTGTCAGAGAGGTATAGAAATATTTCACGACAGAGACCAACCAGATCAGAACTAATGAAAGCATTGGACTCAAGAGTTAGTCCTTGAATAATTGCTGAGAACAGATCGCGAGAAACAAACTCATGAAGCTCCCCATCTTTTGTTGAAATAGCTAAAAGAACTAAAGTAGAGCAGAAGGAAGAAATTTTTGTCACGGCTTCCCCATCCGTCCATGTAAATGCATCCAAGCATATCCGTAGTGCCGAAATGGCTAAGCCTTTGTGCTTTAATAAGAAACTGAGGGGAAAAGGAAAAGAAAGAAAAAAGATGTACATAGATCAGAGACAACTTAAATATTAGAATTTAGAAGACAATGTACAGTTTTTAGAACTGTGATCAAGTGTTGTTTGGTAAAAGCGGGATACCACACTTACCCAACCATGCAGCTTGATGAGAACGCATCCAAGTGTTTGGGAGATGATATAGCCACACGATTGACATGTCCAGATTGCTCCAGGGAAGGAAGGTCGGGATTAAGTGGAGATGAAGCCATAATGGCAAGAAGCGAACAGACTTCTCGGGTTAAATCTCGAAGTAGCTTTTCTTCCATAACTTCCACTTTCAAGTCCGTTTCCGAACAGATTCCAAGGACATCAGGGATGTTTGCTCTACCTTCATGTAGGAGACTGGACCATGAGGAGTTAAGACATTGCTGGGTATGTTGAATTAATGGCATCAGGAGCTTCTCCAGCCAGACATCCCACAAATGTGGAGGACAAACCTTAACCAGAGGAATAATAACTGCATGAACTAGCTGCCTTAAATGTCTAAATTCCATTGAGTGGACATTCTCCATCAGGGCAAGAGAGACAGAATGAATATCCAAGCAACTGAAAAATGAATCTCCAACAGTTGCCGATAAACCCAGGATGTTGTACCTAAAATTATGTAAGATAAGTTAGGACAGCACTAAATAAATAGTTCATCAAATGAACTTGAACACATATTGTAACATCATTTTTACACAGAAAAAAGAATGTTTCATGGAGAAATGAAATGAACAGAGGGCAAAACCATCTAAAGCCAAAGGGTTATGACAAACAGCACAAATGGCATTAATAAGGAAAAGGGATATTTGTACAGTAACATCGAAATCCTAATCACTAAATTCTGTATTATCTTCTAAATCAGCCATTTTTCTAACATTACAATACTACTTGTACATAATTTTTCATGAGAATCCCAACTTTCATAAAGATAAATGAAAGAACACAAGCACTACAAAAACAAAATCTACCAGGAAAGGAGCACAAAAATCAAGATGTCACAGAAAATTACTCCAATTTTTCTGAGATTAATATCATTTCTATACACAGTAAGTATGTTTTTCTGAGCTCCTTTAATGTGTCAAGTATGTTTTTCTGAGCTCCTTTAATGTGTCTAGATGAACACCTGACGAGCTAGAAGACCAATGGTAAAATTCGTAAATGAAAGAAGACATTGTTCCCACAACATTCTCACATACTTCCCATCAGTTCTCAGAGTTCCATCCCTTGTTGCTATAAGCACATACTTGAGCCTTTAAGGAATTTCTTTTAGGAGGGAGCAAGCTATGGTGGAGGGCTTCACTGATTAATTGAAAAATAACTTCTAGTCTTATGGAGTTCAGTGGCCTGCGTATAGGTCACATCAAAAGCCAAATAACGATCTCTTTCCAAGCAAGTCAGGAGTTATGAGTGAGAGCTCTCCCCTTTCGCAAAGAATTATTCCTCGTAATTAAGGTAAGGAAATGGAAGGTTTGTAACAATAGACTGAGCATGCTAACCATCATGGGATGGTTCAAGTGGTCAATGAGGACCAATGTAAATAGCAAAAGGACTTAGAAGGAATGAGTTCAAACCATGGTGGCCACCTACCTAGGATTTAATATCCTACGAGTTTTCTTGTCAACCAAATGTAGTAGGGTTAGGCGGTTGGTCCGTGAATAATCGAGGTGCGCGCAAACTGGCCCGGACACACGGATATTAAAAAAAAAAGGATTGAGCATGCTAATATAAGCTGGAGCCTTGAATTACCTAAATTGAAACCCGTAATTTGGGATAGAAACCAATTTGTGACAGTTATCGGTGAAAATGTGAGGTTTTTGGAACGTAGTGTTATCCAAGGATTTATGCTCTTGCTGTCAATTATTCCTAGTAATTATGGTAAGGAAATGGAAGGTTTGTAGCAATAGATCGCACAAGAATGGTATATCTTATCTAGTTAAATGAGTCAATAAAGCAAAAGATAAGAAAGCAGGAAACATAAAGAATATGGAAGAAAAACTGCCAATTGCACAACCAAAAACAAACCAAACACATAAGTCAACTTACCCACTGTCTCTTATACACTTAAACCAGTTCCGAATATCAGTTTCACTAGGTTCTGCATTCCCTCCTCCCTTGTTCATGTCAGAATGAGGATCATCTGTGAAACTTAATGGACCTTTAGAAAGTTTTGTGTTCGCTTCACCGAGAAGACTAGATTTTTCAGTATCACTCAAAGTCATTGCAGAATTGACCTCTCCAGGCAATGTCTGGGATACAGCTGGACACCAAAGAGAATGTAGAGCGCGGAGCAACTGCATATCAAAGAGATGCTGATGGTTACCATTCCATGCATACAGCGAACCGTGATTTATTTTTATTAACAGATATTTTCAAACAGAAAAGAATAATAATAAAAAATAATAAACAGGAATTTTTTATGATATCCGTATATCAGGCCCCACCCCACTACTACACTGGGAGACTTCACATGCCAACAATAGCTCTAGAAGACATCAAAGATTTTTACTTATTCACGTTTCCACTTAGATATTTGATACCAATATCTTGGGAAACTACTACCCAAACATAGAATTTTAGAAGAAAAGCGCATTAGCAAGTAATAGCATAAAACTGTGCTTTACTTTTAACAGGGGAGGGAGCATCCATGACAAATGAGAAGCCATTGGGTGAGGAGAACTTGTGGTTGAGTGGTTCTGCACATTTGAACTGGATTTTCTCGTCCCACTTCTCTTAAGTGCTCTTTCAAAGAATGTCACAGTGTGGAAAATTGACCACATTGTTGATGTCTCAGAACAAAGACGAACCAAACCCAGTGGCTCAGACAAATAATTATTTTGCCACTCAGGCTGAATCCACTGTTGGCTCAAAGGTTCCAGCAACCATGCTAAAATTTCATGCTGCTGTTGGGTTCTGCAAAAGATTTATAGAAGTGAAAAAATAAGCATGACATCGGGCAAAAATAGTTATATATAAGTAGTCAGGCTTTAATGATTAAGGTCAGATTCTATTTCATTTATTAAATAAATCTCCAGGATAATTCCTTAACAGTGAGCAATAATTTCCTTACAAAATAAGTGACTGGAATATTTTCAGCATAAAATTAAAAATTCCTAATCTAACCAGAAGCGGAGAACATATATGGATATCATATATTCAATGGACACAAAACGCAGATTTAGAACAGTCAGACAAGGTGAAATCTCTCAAATTCGACTCAGACAGATCACATATGAACATATTGTCAACCATAAACTGCAGTCGGTTCTTATGAGTTTCTAATTACCCAGCAGTAGAGGCCATAACAAGGAATGCTTCACGCAGAAGATTATGCTCACCACGAAGCAAACGTCCTTCTCTTTGTAAATATGCCATGGAGTCAGCTATTCCCTATGCAACAAAAAATGATTACATGAATGATGATTAGTCAAGTTTCCATCATAAACTAAGCCTCTTGTTCATTTCAATTGGTGCATGTATAAAGTTTTATCTATTTTTAAGTCTTAAGATGTTTTCGTTAATGATCTACAACATAGAGATAAATTAAGCCTTTTTTTTCCACATAAATCATGTTTAGAGCATGTGGCAAGAAATTGAAGAGAAATCAATGGTAGAAAAGAGAACATGGAATGACAATTTCACTCTCATTAATGCAGTGAGTCTACATATACACTTGTTAATAATGGTGTGCATATGAACACATGGCTGATAATAGAACCACAGAGGATAAGGAAACCTTCATATGGGGCAGAATACTTCTATCAGCAGCTTTTGCTATACGAATAAAGGATGAACAAATCTGTAGCCTAGCATGTCGTGCACTACTTGTAGAAGGATCCTGCCAAACAGATGTATTAAATAACTATTCAAGCATGTCCTTTTCCTCATATAAGCATAAGTTAATAAGAACCTTGACAGCAAAGGGGAGTGAGGTTAGGAGCTCAAATAACTTATTGATGACACTTGAAACTGCGTCAGGAAAATATTTCAGAAAGGGACCCAAAGCATCTAGATAGTGCCCAAGGACTACCACCAAGGCTGGCTCATTCCATTTTAATGAAAGAAGTTTCTGAGTTAAGCCTGGGGGTCAAGAAACCAGTTAACTCAGAAGTTCAAATTTACTTGAACATAAATTGTCAATAGAATACAAGGTTAACGACAAACCATCGAAAATTTCACGCAATTGCAATTGAATTTCAGAACTGCCCGCACCAAATTCATTTGAACCATCAAAAGTAGTACTCACAACATTTTCAAGAGCTAATTGCATGCTGTCCATCACGGCTATGTCCTGAATCAGTACAAATCTTACACTTACTAAAGAGCGGTCGTAACTCATATATATGGTGCTCGACAGAAGAGATAACTACAAACCTGAAGAGGCATTTGTAAAACTGAAAGACTGTTGATGATTGTGATAATTCTTTCGGAAACCTTAGCACTAACTATAACAGGCTTGTATGAAGCAAAAAGCCTGATCAAGTCCAACTGCATCAAAAAAATTTGCATAAATACAAGAACAAACACTGGAACATTCACAAGAAATCACAACCCAAATATGACTGGATATTCTAGCCATCAAAATAAATTCTCATCCATCTGATAATAAGTACCACCTTATTAAGTAAGCCCTCCTTGCATATACACAATTGGAACGTTCTAAAAGAACTGCTTTCAAACTTTTTGGGGTAAGAAACAATTTTATGCACGGTATGAAATAACGAAAATAAAGGAGCAATAAAGAACTACTTTCATTGAGAGGAACGAAAGTAGAAAAATCCATACAAAAACACACCCCAAAATGTAAGGGCCACCAGGAAACAGTAAGTAACAATTACAAGACATGGCTCCAATAATAAGGGGTATATTAATACATATAAACAAACAAGCACTTTCCATTAGGAGATTTAAAAGTACAAAAGGACCAGGGAGCTACAGAAAGGATCTCCAATTGGTCTTTAAGGGGTGAACATAAACAAAAACAATCAAATATCCTCCCAAGTCCCGAGAACCCTCGACTCCCTCAAAGATCCTTTTCTTCCTTTCAAGCCAATTGTACCATAGGATTGCCAAGAAATTAGCCTGCCAAAGGAAGTGTCCTCTTCCTAAAACAGGGATTTAAGAAAAATCTCCATTAGCATGTTACAACAGATGTAAATCCATACTCTCCCATTGGCATAGTACACCACCATTGTAGTCCCAACACAAAAGGGGAGGATCTCAGGACAACATTGTAGGAGTTAATACTCCCACTAGAGACAAGCAAGTCATTTCACCTTCTTATAGATGTGATTTTCTAAAGCTTTGAGAAGATGGTGGGCTGTGATATGGGGGCAGCATGGCAGCTAAATGAACAAATAAGAAGTTGATAGAGAAAAGGTCACAAAGTTTTAGAAGCCAAATGCGCATATCCCTAATGTATGGGATGGGTTTAATCCAACTCTTTGATCGAACCTAGGGTGAAATTTTAGAAAATGGGACAACTCTTTGCAAGAAGGTTGCAGAGAGTAGAAAAGAGTTCGAGAAGAGGCATATGTCCCAAAACTAAATATAGGTCCCATCTCTCACTGAAGAGTAATAAAATCAAGAAAGGTTCCTATAAATACCACAACTACCATGATTAAATATTAAAATAAACAGTCATAAGTAGACTACCAGCTTTGCCCGATATTGGCTGAAATCACCCTTTCCATCAAAATCATCATTCCACAGCTCCAATCCCCCTAGTAAGGGTGCTGCTGCAGGGGAAACCTTTTCTTTCTTGAGCAGCCGCTTGAAAGATATATCAAGAATTACAGTACACATATCGTCGGTCACAAAACTCAACGCAGAACTAGAGCCTGTATAACTAGGTTTTGAAAAATCTCCTGACGAATTAGTTGTAACCTTCAGCTTTGATATGAAATCCCTCATCAATGCCTATTGAGCACAAAAAATGTAGATGCTGAAAGATAACCTTGTCTGCATAACATCTAATATCAAGCTTTTTAAAAGAGAAAAAAAATGTACAACCTCATACATACCAGCCAAAAGTGCAGGGATTGAAAATGAAGAGCTAATTTATAATGTTGAAAAAAGCCCAGCATCTACGACAGGAAAAACATCCATGTTAAGAAAAGCATGTCCCAATTTCTATGTCAATGATGTATTATTTTAGCCTGACCCCAGGTTTAAGGGTAGCATAAGGAAACAGTATAATTAGGTTCGCATGTGCTCGCAAAAATTCGAAAGTGTGGTGCTGCATGTAATATATATATATTTGATAAGAAAAATAGATGTATATGTAGCTATCAAGTGTATGGTAAGAAAAAGAAATTCATAAGTGTATGCTGCACGTAGCTATCAAGTTACACATGATGAATATAACTAAACAAGAAGACGATATGACCTGAAAATCATGCTACACAAAGGCTGGCTTCTTGACAACCACAAGAAACCACTAGTACTGTTAAAACTCAAGACTGAGCTAGCCACGCCGTGGAAAGTACAATTTTCATAATCTTATACAAGAAAGTCATTGCCAATACTAAGAACCAGTTCAAATCTAGACTTCCTCAAAACCTAAAGCATCAAGAAACTAAATACTATCTGCTTTACTGGGATGCCATACATATTACATTTTTTGCAAGTTACTGTAAGTATTTGAAACGGCTGTTATCCTACCTTGGACTAATGAATAATATTGACCAGTTCACCCCCCATCTGATGTCCCAATTACCAGTGATATGTATCAATATGCAGGCATGTTTATTGCAAAGCCTTATTAAACATAGACTAATGTCACTAATCTGGAATATATAAAGCCGGATTTAATTTACATCAATCTAGAAGATAAGAACCAAAGAATGTTAATTTATATATATATATTAAAGAAAAAAAAAAGATTAACCCCCTTGGGTTGCCATAGGGGTCAAGTGCTTCACATCCTTCAAGTCTGGGATTCTAAGCTGGGGTCGGCCAATCACAATATATATAGATATTGATGTATGAACAGAATCCCTTATTGTTTAACATCGATGATATTTCAATTACCTGTTGAAAATAAAGTGGAAGCAGAGTGCTGTCCCTAGCTATACATTGCAAATTAGATGAACCCATGGATACAAGACTTTCACAAATACATTCCCTAAACTCAGATTCACTTTCATCAATCAGACCAGAACTAGGGCCGATCAAAAATTCTCTAGAGATATTCATCAAGATCTCAAAGATATTTATCATGGCAGAGTCATATTCAGATATGGTAGCATCTGTTGGTCTCTTCCTGCATAGTTCATGCAAAATAATATGGAAGTCAAGACATTTGTAGAGAATTGTGAAAGAAATGTATAACACTGCTGCATACCTTACAGAGACAAGCTTGAAAAATTCACAGGCATGAAGACGAAAATCAGGAGAACAAAGTAAGAAGCCACACCTGTTGAGAGTGAATTGAGAACCAGATATACCAACAATACCAACTCAGATTCTATGAAGAATAAGATAAAAATATCATACCCACGTATTATACCATATTTAGCAAGATCAGGTAATGGAGCCCATTCAGCATATGCATTAACAGCATTTAAGGCAGCGATAACTGCAGCTGCATGCTGTTTTGCGACGTCCAACCTTTGACTGCTTGCTTCACTCAGTGCAGCTCCAAAGTGCCTCTCCAGTAACTATTTAACAAAAAGAAATATCATAATAAATCTAGAACGAGCAAGGGTGTGAATGTAAAGGGATGGAAACATACTGTGTACAACAGAGGAAAAATTTCAGGCAAAGATTGAGTAAGCCCACGCAACAAGATTCTACGCCGATCACCTGCAAACCTTTGCAATTATTGAACCACCACTTGAAAATGTAAACAAAGAAGAGACAGCTTCAAATGTAGAGACTTGAACCAGGACAAGTACACATTACCAAATGTACAGTGCTACTTGCCATTCTTGTAATAATAAAAAATAATAATAATATAATAGAACTTAGAAGCACAATTACACTAGTGAACGACCTTCTAAATCTTCATTATGAACTGTAATATCTTCAGGAAGCCACCTCAACATCATTGCAACCAACTCAGCCTAAGATTAAGTGAGCAACAGTCTAAGTCAATAAAGGAGAAAGATTATTGGAATGAAGGAAGAAGAAATAGAGTGTCTGAAGCAACAAATAATGGAACTTACTTGTATAGGACCCTTACAAGACAGGGAAACCAAAGATGGGAGCAAATCTTGCCAAAGATTTAATCCCTCTCTTCTGACAATCTGTAAAGCAGCAAAACAGAGCAACAGATGTGTATGAATGCCCTTTTTAAAAATTAGCATGAAAAAAAAACATTGCATTGATATGTGAAAAAGTTGCAAACTAACCAGAAAAAGTTACAAAATAGAGCAAGAGCCAAACTGAATATTAAGTAAAGCAAAAAAGCTAAAACCCAAAGTATCTTACGGAAACTTGTAGACAATTGACAGGATTCAATTATGATGTGCTTCGTAAGAGAAGCTAAAAAAGGATACAGACTCTTAAATATTCAAGAGATTTGAGACTCTCCATAAACCAATACTACAAGCACCACCTTCCCTCGTACACAACCCTCTTTCATATACTACGCTTCAGTCTTAACTGAACTACTGGTGAGGGCTTGCCCCCACTTACAAAATATGCTCACTAGGATACACAACTATCTCCTAATTCTCATGCATTTTCCCTCATGCCTTTGTCCTTGCCTACCTAATCCACGGAGTGATCTATTAGGCCTATCAATACCTCATGGCCAAGCTTTCACCTTGTCCTCCAGGTGGAAAGAAGAAAAATGCTTTGAGATGACATCATATGGTTCCCAATAAGCCCATATCTCTTATTGACCACTAGGCAAAACCATGATGGTTATCAGAACTGTCTCTTTTACGAAAGAACAAGGTTCTGTCTTTTTTCAAAAAGGGCAAGATACACAGCTTAGAAACGTAGAAGTCCAAAGGGAAAGAAAAAGTATTTGAGAGCTATTCGAATATATACATCTCAAGCTCTGGTAGTGTAGATATAGAGGAACCTCCCACTCCTGAGAAACTTATGCTTGCTTCCAAGAGGATGAAAGTGTGCCAAACACCTTTGAGAAAGGTACAGAGATGGTTGCTACAAAAATATGCTTAAATGAACATCCTTTGACAATTGTGGAACTTTCTATAGCCAACAAAGAAGAAGTGAAAGGGATAGAAAGTGAAGAGGAAAAACATTTAGATAATACCACAAGCTTCCCTTTCACAAAGAAGATGGTGGAAACCCTAGAAAAACACAATTTTTGTATTAGACTTGTTCCTTTGAAAGTAAAAATACTTCGGGTAAAGGTAGTGCAGCAAGTAAAAGAGGCTCCAGAGAGTTAAAAAATCTCCTGATTTCATGGGAAAAGAAGTAGATTCTAAAGTACCAAAATGTAGTAGTACTCAAGGCAACTCGAGTTGTTCATGAGGTCTTCTCATAATCTCATGCATTTTCTTTTTTAGATAAGATAATCTCATGCATTTTCATCATGTCTTTCTCCTTGCATGTGTAGTCCCAATCCGCCCAGGTGCCCTATTAAGCCTATAAGAAACCCTCCCTAATTTGTGTTGATTACAAACGGGGTATAATTACTAAACTCTCAATCAATGGAAGCCCAATAGGATGCATGCAAGGGTGTACAAATGCCTTAATAGGAGTGTAGATATAGGGCTATATGTCCTCCAGATTGCTTTCTTAATCACAGATTTCAAATTGAATCAGATTAGATCATTTTTGGAACTCAATGCAAAAATTTAAACCAATATTCAAAGGTGAAGTCCGTTGAGATTTTTTCCTTTCAACTTCTAATTTTTTGAATTGGATTCACAAAGATAATAATGACTTTCCAATCCCAAAACAACAGATGACCTTTTATATCTTTCTATGACCCTATGACAGCGTAAATGATAAATTAAAATTTCGTAGTTCCTAAAGTACCAAACCTCAGCAACAAGAGCAGCTGTCTGACTTCTTAAAGCCCATTCTTCAGAAGGATTCGCAATTTCAGCTATCAAATCAGTGCAAACAGTAGCAAAATTTTTCTTCTCCATAGAATTGAATTCCTCCCATCGTAAACGAACCAAATGCTGCAAAAAGATGCAAAACAGATACTATCAAAATAAATTTTTTGAGATAAATCATCAATCGAATATGTAAAATTGAAACAACGATTGGAATCTGAAAAGAGGGATTTGGAATTGTGAATTCAATAAATGAAAATTAAAAAACTAATCAACTTCAACCATAAAATCTCTTCTTTTTATGAAAAATCAAACTTTTCATTGAGAAAAATGAAAAATAATAACACATGTACATGGGCACACAAAAACAACTAGCTCTATGCCCTACGGAGGCCCACCTAAAGAAAGGGCGTCGAATCCAAAATGAAAACTCTTAACTGATAATTACAAAAACAACTTCAAAATTGACCCCTATCTAATGAGCTACCAAAGATACTCCTTAGCTCTCTCCACCTTTCTAAAGATTCTATTATTTCTCTCTATCCAGATCCCCACAAAATAGGAAAGAAGCAAGTCTGCCGTAAAAACCTTCCTTTCTCTCGGAAAAAAGGGAACAAAAGCACCTCTTCCAGCATAGCACAGTAATCCATATTGCGAACCCAAGGCACCCCAAAAAGCTCAAAGAATCGATCCCATATATCCTAGGTGAACTGACAATGCATAAACTGTGATCTAGATCCTCAGAAGCACTCTTGCAAAGCACACAACACAACAGCCCCAAACATAAGACCTGCCATGCAAAAAAGAAAAAAAAAATTGTCTTTTTTGGAATTTTCAAAGTGAGGCAAACAACGAGGGAAGAGAGGGAGAACATAATAGATGAAAGAAATAACTACAAAAGAACCCCTTGGACGGGCTAGGGGACTAGACCCAAGAATCCTTCCCTCCCCGACTAAAAGGAACATCCCTAAACAAAAAGAGCAATCCAGAAACTTCCAAAGACTCCTTGTCTATCAAGGACCAACTGACGCCCAAGGAAATAGACGACCCAATCACCCTTAACTCAAGCACAGAGGCCACAAAATGTAACCTCATGTCAAAAAAGTGATACAAACGAGAGAATAAAGAATGCAGCCAATAATCCTCCCAAAAGTAAGTATCATGACCATGCCGAACAAAACAATTCAAGAACGCAGCCAATGATCCTCCCAAAAGTAGGTATCATGACCATTCCCAACAAAACAATTCAAGACCTGGGAGAAGGAAAGACATAAGATATAGCCTTCCAGGAATTATCGGCACTAACCTTAAGCCCCATCTTAGATCCAATCAAAAGGATGCGGCCCATACTTGCTCACCATAATCCTCGGCCACAAAGCACTAGGCTCCTAAAATAATTGCCACAACCATTTGGCCAATGACGCCACATCTCTAAATCTCAAGTTCCCAATACCCAAGCCACCAAGGCCTAGAAGTAATATCCCGATTGACTAAGTGAGCCCCACCCCCCTCATCCACCCCTCCCAAAGGAAATCTTTCATAATCTTCTCAAAGCTCTTACTAACATCGAGACTCTAAAAAGGGATATAAAACATGTGGGAATACCTCTTAAAACCGCTTGAACAAGTGTTCGCCTCCCTCGTTTGAAGAAAAAGCTTTTTTCCACAAGGAAATAAACTTTTGAAACTTTTCCAGTATCAGGGCCCAAAAGGAGAAACTCTTAGGATTATGCCCCAAAGGGAGATCTAAATAAGAAGTCGGAAAATCACGTACTTCGCACCCTACCAAGGAAGCCTGAGATAGAAGCTTGGAAGAATCATATTTAATTCCAAAAAGTGGGCATTTGCCTCTATTAATCTTGAGCTCCGATATGGATTCAAAGAATGAAAGCAGTACATTCAAATTAATATAGGAGGCTTCCTTCCTGAAAAAGAGAGGATCATCAACAAACTGAAGGTAAGTTTGTTGGGAAGGTAGGACCTCTCTCTCCCCAGTGACAATCCCTCCAAGACCCTATTGGTCACTCCGGAGACCAACTTACAGCCCCCAAGAGATAGCCCAGTTGACAAGGGCTTGGGTTGTCTGAGTCATATTGACTTAGAAGTCTCAAGTTCGAACCTTTTGGCGAGTTTAATACCAAAAACTCTTGATGTCTCTCAGGTCCAGGCATTGGGGCAGGCACGGGTGCCCTTGGTTATAAGGGAGCAAAGCTCCAACTCTCAGGTATCAACAAAAAAAGAGAGAGAGAGACCTTACCAAATTGCTTAAAATATCCACAACTAGGATGAAAATAAAAGGAAAAAGAGAGATTTTCTTGTCTCAGACCCCTAGAGGCTCAAATCCTACCCCTACACCTCCCATTAGCCAAGATAGAAAAATTTACCGTCCTTATGAAATCTTAATATTTAAATTCATATTGATAACTAACTCATGTATTTTATAAAAGTCATGCTTGCATATCATACGCAGAAAGTAACAACAACTGAAACTGAAAACACTTTCAAATAAAAGTTACCAATTTAAGATGTGCAAAAAATAGTGGAAATGAAGAACACATCATTCATAAGATTACAAGTTGGGTATTAAAGATAGAATCACGAACTTGTAGCATTTTATATGCATGAAGCCGAATTTCAGAAGACCACTTATTTTTAACTAGAATGAGGTATGTGCTGGCTAAAACCCGTACGTCGCCAGTTTTAATCTGCAATAGTAAATAGAGGTTATTGCAGCAATCAAGAAACAAGTAACCAAATACTAGAACATGATTTACAATCTAATGAAGCTTGTGAAACTGATCAAATAAGTAGGAAAAGAAGAGAAGATAACAAAAAGATTCTTCCAACTTAACCATATAATGCTGTTAAATCATTTCGGTTGCTTAAAATTCTACTTTCATGAGAAAATAACAAAGAGGTGAAATAAAGTACTTCTATTTAAAAATAATCAGATAATATGGCTTCATGAGGGTACAAAAACAGAAAGTGAGGAAAGCGTTTCAAGAGGAGTAGTATCCAACTCCAGAGTGCCGAATTTCCACAATGATGAGCAACTTCTAACAAAACGCGAAATATAATAGAATATCCAGAGATTCATAACTTTTGAAGCTTCATCATAAATTTCCCCTCAATAAACAAGCGATTCCATATCCCAGTAAACCAACCACTGTCAATATCTTCCCAAACCCAATTGAAATAGTATCACCGATCAACAATATCTCATTCCACCCACAATAATCCACACTCATGCATCAGAACACCCAGAAGTACAATCACTTGCAATACTTCCTCACACCCAGAAACTATTAAACAATAAAAAAGCGAAGTATTGTGAAGTTTACAGATTCTAGATAGCAGAGAGCAGCATTCCGTGCGCCAGCGGTGGAGCTCCAGTCAAGAGATACGGCTATGGCTTGGGCCACGTTATTGGCCGTATCGTCACCCATCAATTCCAGCAAACTCCTTTCTCACTGGCTTTTGCCGATGGTTTTCACTTTGACGTCCACGGCTAGAAAGAGAGAGAGAGAGATGCTTTAAGGATTGTTGAAGGGGTTATTGAAGAAGAATAAATACTCT